AACTTTTTACTGTAACAAAAAAGTTATATGTGACTGTTTCTGAGATATTTTTACTGTAACAAAACTCGAATTCTAAATTTGAATCGGTGAAATGAACGGGACCTGAGAGAGTTATAATTTATTATTATATATTTTTTACATTTGTTTTGAATAAGTTTTTAAGTATAATTTTACAGTAAGGTAAATGAAAATATCTTATCAACAAGCATATCACAGTTTCGAATCGTGAGTTCACATGAAAAATCATATCCAAATAAAAAGTATACAAATAATTAAAAAAGAAGGAAAGTAAGAACTTATTATCTGATTCAACAAAGAACATGTTTAACAAGAAAATTTGAACTTTTGCATGTTATAATCCTATAAAAATGAAAGCATTGCTAATCCTCTCCAGAGGATCATACTTTTATTGTAATATATAAAAGTGAGAATAGCATATACTTAATCGGGCCCGTTTAGTTCGCTGATTCGAGTTGAGATGTGACGTTATGTGAGAATTTTTTACTGTAATAAAAAAATTAAATGTGATTATTTTTGAGAGTTTTTTACTGTAGCAAAACTCGAATCGGCAAAATAAACGGGACCAAATAAAACATTTTGACGTTTAAAAGGTGTAATAGCAAGAGTTTTTTGCATCTTTCAAATATCCGTGCTAATATGTATAGCTTCTCTGCAAGTTGTGAATACGGAATCTGATAAAATCGTACGAGTTAGGAATATTTACTTTTAGTATGCTTCCCTAAACAGAATTGTCACAGCATAAATAATTTCGTTCTCCCATATTCTTTTTATTTATTATTTTCATAACTGGAAAATAAATTTAGAAAATATCTAAAGTCCGGCAATATAAATTTCAGGTCCTTCCTTGTAAGCCCATGCTTGAGTACTGTGTTCATAAACAATATTAGTACAAAAAAATAAAAATAAAAATCAATTATGTGCACGTCTAGTCTAGTTTCGAAATACTGGAAACTAATCATCCCTGACTGACAATACAAGACTTTCTTTTTTCTGTTTTCAACCGCTTACAGTATAACATTTGATCATATACAAATTTATTTAATTCACACATTTAAATTAATAATTTTAATTTATTAATAAAAATTTTATAAAAAAATTTAAAAATTTAAATTTTTTATACGATGAAAAACACTATAACAAAATTAAAATAATAAATTCAAGTATAACAAGTAAACGAGAGAGTACATGTGCATGGAAAATAAGTAGATGTTTAGTTTATAAATTCAGAATCATGATTTAAAATTATTTTCAATTTATGTGTATTTTTTGTGAGAAAAAAAATATTATAACGAATTATGAACCATAATTCGAACCATGACACGAAAATACATGACAATTTTCATGCCTCAACAGAGAAAGGCTGTTTACATATACAATTATTTTGATTCTCTCTCTTTTTAATATATATATATATACATATACATATATATATATATATCTTAGATCATTCTGTGCTTCACTGCTGAAATGGCAAAATATTTGATTTTATTATGACAGATTTTATTGTAATAGTACTTTATGCGTAATCCGTAACATTGAGCAAGTTAATTGTTACCATTTATTTTATTTTATTTTCTTTCTTTATCTAAAGATAGTATATATTACAACTTTTTTTGTTTTCTTTTTATCTTTTGAGGATAGTGTATTACTACTTTTGATACTACTAGTGGTTTAACTATATACCACAAAACTCTATTTGTTTCACTAAATGCTATAATAAGTAGTAGTGTATTACCATTTTTGATACTATTAGTGGTTTAACTATACACCACAAAACTCTGTTTTTTCACTAAATGCTATAATAATTAGATAGGTTCCTTCTTTTCTCGAAAAAAATATATGCTTGACAGAATTTATAAAAAAATCCTATAAATCCTATAAATACTTCAATCATCAATCCTCATCAGATTTTGTTAGATTTAATTATAATATTATTCATTTCCCGCATTGTAAAATGGAGATATCCTACCACAAAAGTATCCAATTACATATGACAAAATGAAGGACAAAAGTACCTAATAATAATACTTTGATACCTCAAATTCCTCTCTACGATTTCATTATGATATTATTCATTTTTTGTAAAAGTGCACAAATAAAAGTCTTTAATAAAATGCGATAAAATTGAGGAGAATATATTCTTTATCGAAGAAAATACAACTTTATGACACGTGTATTCCCGGGACAGGGATCCACAGGGATCCACCATAAAAAGAGCAGGAGAGAATCTCGTCCCTGACTTGTGGCGTGGAGGAGACAGGGGAAGTACTCCTCTCTTCGTCTTGTACACAATATAATTTATATAAAAAGATATATACAATATAAACTTTTCAAACATAATTTGGTCTTTTTTTTTTTTTTACTTTATCACTAATATTTGATTTGTATATTTTTAGAATTTAATTTATTTTGTGAAACCTTTGATTTTGGTTTAACTTGGACTTTTTTTTTTGTTGTTGTTTTAAATTGTTATAATTTTAAAATGTAAAGTTGCATCAATAAATTTTGGTTTAACTTGAACTATTTAAAATTTAATGCATTTGATTTAATAGGGTTCCGTCAAAATTGCATCAATAAATCCACACAAACTGAAAATAATATTCTATATATTATCAGACAACAAAACAAAAAAGGATAATTATAATAGACTTAATTACACCATTTTAAATTAAAATGTCTTAATACAAAAAGCCTCACATAATATAACAAAAAATAATATTATATTATTAAATTTAAATAGAAAAGGAAACTAATAATGTGGTTTTTTCTCTCTTTTGTTTTTTTTAATAAAAATTGCATGGATTTTTTTTATTTGTTTCCTTCTTTGTTTTGCTTATGTTGTTCAACCATATTACATATTTTTTTATTACTTTGTCGTTTTCTTTTTTTTCCCCAATACCTCGATTGTTATCTTAAATTCTTTTTGTTGGCGTTTTGTTTTTTACTTTTGTTATTTTATTTGTTTACTTTTATTCTCTTTTAAACTGTTTTATTGTCTATTTTATTTTTCCTAAATTGTTTCTTTTTACTTGTTTTTCTTTGTTTGCTTACGAAAAAAGGCTACATGCCTAAAGTTTCAACAACCAAAAAAATATATATATATAGAGAGACAAAGAAATAATAATATTAAAGTAATAAATTAAAATAAAATTGTGGATGTGAAAAAAAAAGGTGTTTAAAGAATTTTAATCGTACAAAACTGAATAGGGGTACTTTGGAAATAATTGGAACAATAAAAAAATAATTTAATCATTTTAAAATTATGTGGGATGAGTGATTAAAAAGAGGGGTGTGAAGAGTAAAGAACGGTGTGTCAATAAAGTCATTATTTATTTAATAGTTTGGAGTTTTTGATTTGTTAGTCCCTTAATTATAATATTGTTACACTTTGGTTTTTAAATTTTTTTAGCTGATTAGTCTATAAATTTAATTTATTTTTTAAAACAATTACGATCCCTAATTTTTAAATTGACAATATATTTTTTTATAAAAAAAAATTAATGGAGATAAATACGTTCTCACCTCGTGATAACTTTTAATTTTACAAAACTGTAACTCAAAATGTTCCTTAATATCCTTGAGAATCCTTCAAAATTGGAACATTTTGTATTTCACGTTAGTGAAGATGTGGCACGTGGCTGTGTTTTTTTTTATATATTTTACAAATCCGTCTAATTAATTTATAAGCTAAGGACCAAAATAACTAAAAATATTAAGTTTAGGGCTTATAGTTCAAAAACAATTAAGGACTAAAAAAAATTAGGGACGATAATGCTAAATCTATTTTTTAGGTTATTTTTAGAAGTTTAGCTACTTTGATATTTTGAAGAATTCAATTTTAGTTTATCTATTAATGACGGTCGATTTTGAGGTCAAATCTAATACGATAATGACATATTTAGATTTTAAGAGAGATAAAATGGTAAAAATAACAGAAGAATAAACCAAACACGTTTGAAAAAAAAAATAAAAAAAAAAGGAAAAAAACAAGATCTGAAACCAAAAACCAAATTAAGCAACATAGTCCATGTAAATTTTTTTTTTCTTTTAGAATATATATCTTTTCCGATTTGCTTGGTTTGTTTTCACTATCTTGTCAATTTTAAAATTTTGATGTGTCATTGTCGTGCTAAACAATATCTAAACAATTTTATAAATAGACAGGTTAAAAAAAGTATATAATTTAAAACCGTCATAATAAATAAGGGAGATTTTTTAGTATACTTAGTATATTAATAGGTCATGTCTTTTTAATCATTAAATTTATATATTTTTTAATTTTTACGTGATTTTATACAGATTCAATAGATAAAAACTTTAATTTATCATTATGTTTTTTTACTGGAGAAGATCCTGGTAAATAAATTTCTAAAAGTGAGTGTTTGAAGACTAAATGGACGTTTGATTTATTGATTCATAATCATGATTTAAAATTATTCTTATTTTATGTGTATTTTTTATTAGAAAAAAATATTATAAAAAATTATGAATCATAATTTAAAATTAAAGACATCGCCTAAAGTGAGGTAAATTACCGTTTGGCTTGGGGTTATATCCTCAAGATTTTTTTTTTCTCTCTTTTTTGGAAAAGAACACAAAATTCTAAGAACTAAAATAAGCCATTAAGCCCTTTCAAAAAAATAAGTCATTAAGTAGGAGAAATTAGAAAATGCCCTTCCCTCTATTTCCCTTAGGAACGTAAATCTCCCTCCTTTCTGTTACATCAGTTACAAGGAAAGCAAGAGAGAGATAGAAAGAAGCGGTTGTACTTTCATAGTCCTCTCTCTCTCTCTCTCTCTCTCTCTCTATGTGTATATATTACACACGCACACTCATTTTCTCCATAGGATCATATCTTTAAGAATTTTTTCACGAACCAGTTGTTGGAAGTGGTTGTTTGTGAAAATGGGAAAGCTCTTAACTTTGTTTATTGTTCTCTGCTTTCTCCAACTCTTTCATGGCGGAACAGCAATAGCCAGAAGAAGAACCAATGACGCTTCTGAGGACTGGGGTTATGTTGAAGTCAGACCCAGTAAAATACTTTCTTCAATTTCCTTTTTCTCTCTTTTTTCTTTTTTTCTTTTCTTTTGTTTTTTTGTTTTTTTGTTTTTTATTTTGTTTTTTTTTGGGTTCTTGGGACGCACAAAATCTAATGTTGGAATTGTGTTGATTTTTTAACGTCTTTTTTTTTTTTTTTTTTTTTTTTTTAAAAAAAGCCCCACATGTTCTGGTGGCTTTACAGAAGTCCCTACAGAGTTGAAGACCCGTCCAAGCCATGGCCAATCATTCTATGGTTCCAAGGAGGACCTGTGAGTTAGCAATATATGTGCTATGGCCAATCAATTTTTTTTTTTTTTTTTTTTTGTTGGCATCTTTATGTCTTTGTTTGTTTAACACAAATGACTTAAAGATCTTTTTTTTTTTTGGGTGAATTCTTTATGTATGCTTTATTAACTGAATGATGCCCAGATGATGTTTTGAATTGAAAAGGCCATATAAGTGATTAAGTTAATTCAATTTAGTTTATTTTTTTTTTTTTTTTTGGAGAAAAGGGTGCTTCAGGAGTTGGCATTGGAAATTTTGAAGAGATTGGGCCATTGGACACAGACTTGAAGCCAAGGAATTCAACTTGGCTGCAAAAGGGAGATCTTTTGTTTGTTGTAAGTGATGGCCTTTGGTTAAATTTCTTGTTTGGTGCAAATGAATTGAAATCTGAATTTATTTTTTATTTTTTATTTTTATTTTTTAAGGACAACCCAGTTGGGACAGGATATAGTTTCGTGGAGGACTTAACTCTGTTAGTGAAAACTGATGGGGAAGCAGCCGATGACCTGACCATATTATTGGAGAAACTCTTTAATGATAATGAGAAACTCCAGAAAAGTCCTCTGTTCATTGTGGCAGAGTCTTATGGAGGCAAGTTCGCGGTCACTTGTGGATTATCTGCTCTAAAAGCCATTGAAGCTGGGAAATTGAAACTCAATCTTGGAGGTAATAAAAATCACTAAAGTCCCAACATTATAAAATTCTGGTCTTTCATATCATTGAACGAAGAAATGGTTGTGATCTTTGGAGAATTTGTTACCTCTATGCAGGAGTGGCATTGGGAGACACTTGGATCTCGCCGGAAGATTTCGTGGTATGTTCCGACTATATGATTTTCTGTTTTATGAACGTGTGGTTTATAGATTTAAAACCATGATTCAGAATTATTCTCGTTTTACGTATGTTTTTTTTTTTAAAAAAACACTTAAAAACCATGAATCATGATTCAAAATTAGGGACAAATACAAGAAACACACATTTTGATCCAATTAGCACTACTGCAGGTTTCATGGGGTCCTCTTCTCAAAGACGTCTCACGCCTCGACGACAACGGAGTGAACAAATCAAACAGGTCTGTGTTATAATCATTGTGTGTGTGTTTTTCGCATGTAAATCGCGGTGAGAAAATTATGAAACTTGTTAAAGATTTTTTTAGAGATCTAACAAACCCATTTCGGAAAACAGTTTGGTTGAGAAGATCAAGCAGCAAATTCAGGAGGGCCATTTTGTGGATGCAACTTTAACTTGGAGTGAACTTGAGCAACAGATCTTCTCCAGCAGCAATGGAGTGGTACTAATTTCTTTTACTTTTTTTATGGTTCACTCAAGATCCGTTTAGTTCGCCGATTTGAATTTTTAATTCGAGTTGAAATGTGACTTTACGTGAGAGTTTTTTACTGTAGCAAAAAAGTGATGTGACTATTTCTGAGAGTTTTTTACGGTAACAAAACTCAAATTTTAAACTTGAATCGATGAAATGAACAGAATCTTAATATTCTAGTGAAACAGAGAACAAAAATGGGAAAGTTTTTATAATCCTTGTGTTAATGATGTGTTTTTTGGATCGTTTTTCAGGACTTCTACAATTTTCTGTTGGATACAGAAGTGGATTCAGCCTCATCCTTGGCGACGCTCGAAATGTCGAAAACGATCTCAACCAAGAGATACTCAAGATATCTAAGCACCTTGAGGTCTTCTTCACCAGGTGGTGGTGGTGGTCTTGATGACTTGATGAATGGTGCCGTTAGGAAGAAGCTTAGGATTATACCAAAAAATGTGACGTGAGTATGCAAAGTTATTAGTTTTTCACTTGGAAAAAGATTAGTGAAAAGTTCACTGAAAGAAAAAAATGATAAAAGCAATGCCAAAGATCCAATTTTTGTACTTAGTTTTTAAAACTAACTAGTGGCGTGACAACTTTTTAAACACTTAATTAACAAAAGAACGATAAATATGCTTATCATTATTATTTAAAATAATAATTCTCTCTTAAATATTTGACAGATGGGGAGGGCAGTCAGATAATGTATTCTCAGCACTACAAGGAGATTTCATGAAACCAAGGATTGATGAGGTAATTTGGAAAAGTAAATTAAATGAAACTTTTGGTGGGGAATCATGGTTTGTCTTATTTAGGGGAAAGAAGAATTTCATCACGAATTAGCACTTTGTTTGATTGCTAAAAAAAAAAAAAAAAAAAGGAATAAAAGCTAACAAGAAAAGATTCCAAAACACAAAATTGCCTTTCAAATATCTTTTGACTTTCCTTCCATGTACTATCGTTTTATTAACTATTTTCTGAAAAAGAAAAATAAGTAGTACAATGTATCTTTTTTCCAGCCTGGTATTAAAATATTTTCCCTCTGGTTCACGCGGAAATCTAATTTCGTAAGTTAAATATGTTTTTTTGGTAGCTCTTAAGTTAATCATGTTTTTTCTACGCTATTATCATACTTTTGATAAGGTCCTACTTACCTTTTATTTCAACATTTTGGTTCACGTGGAAACAGATTTTCTTTAGCGTAACTCTATTTTCTGCTTGTCTTCTACTCTTCCTTTTTTGTCCCTCTTATGGTTCTTGTGTCTTACTTCGATGGAAATAATAAAATTCATTATGGACTCATTCAGTTCGCGGATTTAAATTTTTAATTCGGGTTGAGATGTGATTTTATGTGAGCTTTTCACTGTAGCAGAAAAAATTAGATGTAACTTTTTGTGAGAGCTTTCAACTGTAACAAAACTGAAATTGAAAACTTAAATTAATAAAATGAACGAGGCCTATATAACTCCTCTCTTTCACAAGCAGGTGGACCAACTCCTTGCTAAAGGGGTCAATGTCACGATATACAGTGGCCAAGTAAGTTTTTTCTAGCCCAATTCATTCAACAACGTTCTCTCTCTTTATCTCTCTCTATATATATACACACATATATATAGATTAGTTTTTTAATAGTTAAGTTTTTATCGATAGTTACTCATTAAATATAGATAAAAATTTAATAATCTCATCAATTACTATGCATTTTATTATCAACAACCTAATTTATTATAACTGTCTGATTAATATCATACAGTTTAAACAATAATACCCGATCATTAAAATCGCACCATATATACGTGTATATTCAAGATCATATTTAACCATTTACATCAAGTAAATGCTAAGTTGACAAAAAGAGTTTAGATGTATCGTTCAACTTGTGGTTTGTTTTTATTTATTTGTATGCATCATGCGTGAATGAATCCGTTGAATTATACCTTCACAACATGTCAATGGGATTAGGATAAGCCTCAGAAAATGGGTTGGATTTCATCTGGACCACCCCACTTATGCGATATACCTTGTCTTGCTTTGGAAAAGTTATTTATGCATTTTTTATTTATATGTTTTATGAATTTATTATTATATTTCTATTATGTGTAATGTCGTGATTAAGGAAACTAAAATGATATTAGGATTAAAAACTTGCATGATCTAATAGTACATGACAAGAGTATCAAATCGACAAATTCTTTTAGATTTGAATGTAATAATAATAAGAATAATAATATTATCATTTATTATATTATTATTTTTAAGAAATTAGTGGCTATGTTGACATATGTGGTTGGTATCTGCAGCTTGATGTCATTTGTTCAACCAAGGGGACTGAAGCATGGGTTCATAAGCTCAAGTACTCTCTCTCTCTCCCTCTCTCTCTCTCTCTCTCTCTCTATATATATATATATATATATAACTACACCTTGAGGTGTAGAGTTCAAATTCCCAATCCTGAGTCACAAAAAAATAAAAATAAATAAATAAATAAATGTGTTTAACTTATCATACGATTCTTTCATGCTTTTATAGGTGGGAAGGACTCCAAACATTTTTGAGCAAGAATAGAATCCCTCTCCATTGTGAAAATGGAAGGTCCACAAAAGGGTTCTTCAAATCATATAAAAACCTCCACTTTTATTGGATTCTTGGAGCTGGACACTTTGTAAGTTACGACCACCTCAAAAGTCAGCCAAAAATATCTTTCTTGCTTTTATCATGCTAGGTTGTCATGTCCTAATCACCACCGTCCGCTTTTGAAAATTATATATAGTTATGATCAAACTTAGCCAAGCTAAAAACAAGGAATGAAGAAAACAATGCTTAAAAAATATATATATATATAAAAATAAACATCACTATTGTCTTAATACTGTACCAATTCTAGTTGAGATGTCAGGATCATTATAATCATTTATAGTTTTATATACTAATAAATGAAGTAGCCGGCAATGTCATAATTAAGAATAAAGCTCAAAAGTGAAGGACTAAAATCTTATGAAATCTTTAGGGATGAAGATATGAAAACCATTACCCTAGAATGATATTCTAGAAAGGAAAAAAACAAAAAAAAAACAAAAAAAAAAAACCAAAAAAGTCTGTAGAATGATACTAATTACCTTTTGAATTGGGAAAATTCAGTGAGGATTTAGTGTTGTGCGCTTTTAAACGTCATATATATATATATATATATATGATTTAATAAAAATTTGGCAATATAAAAGTGTATGGCATTAGTGGGATTTCTTTTGTTTAATGATATTATCGAATTTTCCTTGAATTTGTTTTAGTTTTTGTTCTTTAATTTTTTGATAAAGCTCCTTGAATTTGTTTGTGTGCATCTTGAAAGTTCTATGATAAGATTATGTGAGCCTAGTAGTACTGAATCACAAATTCCAACCTATCCTATGACAACTAAAAAAGGATTACAACACTTCACACTTCGAGATAAAAAAGCAAAATGGCACTAAAACTCAGATTTACTGAGAGAATATTTTCAAAGGCCCTGTCCTTATTACTAAGGGTAAAATAAAAAATAAAAAAAAAATGATAACAAAAAAATAAAAAATAAAAAAACCAGTAAAGATCCATAAGGATCATCTCGTAGTTGTAACTTGTGCCTTTAGGAGAACCTAATAAGTGATGGATGTGTATGGTAAGTGGGTGGCTACCCCACAATCAGATGAAAAAACAACAAAAAGCATTAATGAAACTGTTAGGTAAATCCAGTAACCTCTCTGGCGCCTATACCAGCGTGTCTTCAAAATCGTCATCATCATCTTTTTTTGTTTTTTTAGAATTTTTTTTATATTATTAAGAATTTTTTAAGGGGGTATGCACAGCACAAAAATAAAAATAAAAAAAAATCCAAAAAAAAAAAGTTCCATTGGTATTGTATTTTCTTTTACCATTGGTTTTCATCGTCCTTACATATTAATTTTCTAGAAATTTTGATATGATCTTTAGAGTTTGGAGTTCAGGATTACAATATGTTGATTTGGTTTTTCTTTCCTTTTTTTTTTTTTCTCCTTTTATTTTACATTTTAATCGCCTTGTAACATCACCATGCTCTTTTGTCACCATGTTAGTATCTTACACATACACCTCACACAAACAAACAACACATGTGAGCACGTTCAATAATGGGTGATTAGGAAATAATATCATAGGACATGTGTTCAATAATGAGTAATTAGGAAATAATATCATAGGAGATTAGAGAACTCATTCATATAGACAAGTCAATGTTGAGGGCATTCTACATGTAACCATTTAAAGTCGGCACAAAAAATTGGAATTTTGCTAGTTCTAAATTTTATCAGGAAGCAAAATACAAATGAGACTTATTTGGGCGTTGTTTTTCCCCTAACCAATATACATATCATCACAAATTATAAGATACCGACACTTAAGCTAACCTTATAATTTGTAGGTTCAAATTATTTATTCTATATATTTTTTTAATTCAATATGAAATTTAACAGTTTTTTAAAACTGATTCTATTGATAATGATAAGAGACATATAGAAAGTCTCAATCAATTATTGTTTTTTTAGTTTGAAAATGAGTTAAAATAGATACTTTGGCCTCGTTCACTTCACGGATTCAAATTTTTAATTCGAGCTGAGATATGATATTTTCTGAGAGCTTTTCACTGTAGTAAAAAAAATTAGATATGACATTTTTTGAGAGTTTTTTACTGTAAAAACTTAAAATTAAAAACTCAAATCGGTGAAATAAACGAAGCCTTTAACGCTCCGTGAAAGTAAGTTGTTAGAAATGATGGGATGCATAAGTTCCTTTTACACACTTTTTTTAAGTAAGTTGTTAGAAATGATGGGATGCATAAGTTCCTCTTACACACTTTTTTTCTTTCATCGTTTCTCTCTCCTACCAACAATCCCAAATTCTGTATTTATCCCAAAAATGTATTTCGTCACATGTAGTCATGTATTACAAATAATCTTATCATCACTAGTAATTTTTCTTTTTCCGATCTTATATATATATATATATATATATGTATATATATAATATGAGATTGAATCTACATCCTTCTAAGCCAAGACATATTCCACCCTATCTCGTACCGTTTTACTCAGTGTGGACATGTGAGTTCTGTTTTAATGCGTCACAAACAGTGAACAATATTAATGCTCTTTTCAATTCTCTTCTACCATAGAAAAGTTTGGGTCTAGTTTACTTTGCGGATTTAAATTTTTAATTAAGAAATAGTAGAAAATAGACCAATATGAAAAGCTTAAAAAATATATAAGTCAATTTTTAGTTATAGAAATTAATAGGCCATAACTTGTCAAGTTATGGTTCATAACCAGATAAGTTATGGGCAAACTTGTCAAGTTATGGTTCATAACCAGATAAGTTATTGACAAAAACCGTGAATAACTTGTCAAGTTATGGTTCATAATCAGATAAATTATTGACGAAAACAGTAATTTGACCTATTTATTAACTTATGTAAACTATTTGCCTATTAATTTTAATTCATCTCAAGTTTTAGCCAATTTTTCTCTTTCTCTCTTTTTAATTTAAATTGAGATGTGATATTTTTTAAGAACTTTTAACAGTAAAAATTAAAAATTAAAAATTCAAATCGATCAAATAAACGAGATATTAATGTTTGGGTCAGGTTAGCCCACGTGTGGGCTCATGGAAAGAGTGCGGTCCTTGATAATGTTAGAATAGTTATAGTTACATGGCTTTGCCTTGCATGCAATTGCAATAGCAATAGCAAAAGAAGTGACAGAGTGACAATTACGTGAGAGTGTGATAATGGATTTGTTAGCCTCACCAGGGCATTGATTATCCAAGTACTGCAAACACTAGTACCACTGTCCCTTCCCCACAACACTTTGTCAGATACAAGAGACAAACACTGACCCACTCGCTACCAAACTCTTATCTTCCTGCTCCTGCTCGTGTGAAATATTTGCCCAAATTTATTTATAAAGTCACTCACAGTCAGTCAGTCTTGTTAAATTTATTCCAATAGCAGAATAATGAATCATTCTCAACTTTTTCACCTTTTTCTACTCGGATAAGATTCTTAAGATTGTGCCTTAAATTTTAAATTTATATGTATATAAATATTTTCCCACTTTTTTATTTTCTTCTTATTACAAAATTTGCAGGTACCTGTGGATCAGCCCTGCCTTGCATTAAAGATAGTGGGTCAGATTACAAATTCTCCAAGGTAGACATTGTTGTATTTACAGAAGTACTAAAACCACTAAAATAAGCAAACATTGAAAAGGATTGATGAGAAGGTTCTGAGGTAGAGCTGCAAGCAAGGCAATAACTATGTGAGACCATCAGACAGATATCGTTGGAGGGAAAAGGGGAACGACACGGTTTCCAATTCTTTTTTCTTTTTAATTTCTTTCTTTGTAGGAAGAAAAAAATAAGATGACAGATCTTTTTTCTTTTGTGGAACAAAATTCTTGGGGTTTTTTTTTTTAGGCGGGAAGGATCCCCCAGTTTCCTGTTTCTCTCCTATTATTCATTGGCAGTCTTATCTAATTAAATAATATTCTTAGTAGACATTTAGTTTATATATTCAGAATTATTCTCAATTTACGTATTTTTTAAAAAAAAAATATTGTAATAAATCACGAATCATAATTCGAACTATAACACGAATTTTTATACCAAACACATCTACTCTCGAGCAGGAAAAACAAAATAATACCTTCAACTCTCTAAGTAAAATGCTCACAATTAATGTCCAGAAAATGCTAGTAATTAGTTCCAAGTATAATTTTCAGTTCTATTATATGATAATGATTATGGGACTTCTCGTTACTACCGTACCATCTGGCGAATTATTTATAGTAAAATCAATGTTTAACATACCGTTTTGTTCACAGATCACAAGTGCGTCATTGGCCTTCACTTGAAAAGAATAAACATTTAAATATTTTCAATATGGGAAAAAAAAAAAAAAAACAAAAACACATTTTCCATCTCTTGTAAAACCTGTTTTTTTATTTAGGCCTTAATCAGTAATGTGCTTTTTTAAAAGCTACTTATTTGTGAAAGCTAAAGAAAAAATTGTTCTTGAGAAGTCTGATCGAATTATACAGTTTCAAATGGATTTATATGCTTGAAATCAAGGTCACAATGAAATGAAGACAGATGAGAGAACTTGAAGAACTCGTGTGGAAATGATCAGAAATGTAGAAATCCAACAAATCACAGGATCAAAGAGTCAATATGCTGGTAACGGAACTCGGACTTCTAAAACTTTTTTCTGAATCGATATAAACTCATAATTTTACTTCTCCTGGGATATATATGTATATATATACCATTATTTGAATAAAAGCTTTATCCAAAATTACATTTGATGATCCCTGGAGGGATAACCATATTTTACAAACTGACATGAGAAGATATACAACATTGATTTGAGCTAATCTATGCTACATATAATAGGGAGTATGATATAAATCAAATTATCACCAAATATACAAAACCTCAAAGGGGGATTAAGATGAGAGTAAACAAATCGAAAGTGTGAAAAAGGAGGAAAGAATAAAGACAGGAGCAGCACATGAGATTAATTATGATTGGAACCATGTAGTTATCAGAAGCTATATGCAGACTCATTCGATCTTTTCTAATATTTCGAACCTGGTTTTTCTTTTCCAACCTTTCATCGAGGCAACGAGGTTGATCAGCCCCACTATTTGGTTTCTTGTGTATTCCTGCATAAGAAAGGTATTTAGTCGTCGAATGATGTGAGAAAATTGTGAGTTCACCATTGTGGTAGTCAATATTTTTGGTAATGGAATTTCTTACCGGGTGGGCGTGGGACCAGTGCACAAATTCAGTTTCTGGAAGGTAGTAAGCCTGTTTGAAAGCCGAAAGAGAGGTGACAGTAAGCAATCGTCAAAATAACTAATATTCCTCAAATATTATTACACAAATGACATCATGCGAAACAGATTACTTTTACTATGCTTGTGTGCTTACCTTAATGAAGGTTTCAACCATTTGTAACTTGGGCTTCACATTTACGGTGATAATATGTTGCAGACCATTAATTAAGACCTGCAAGACAAAGGAAAAAATGAAAACAGAGGAAAAAGAAAGAAAAGCAAAGAATCCCATTAAAATTTAACGAGATGCAAAAGAGGTTTGAGGAGAAATTACTAGGAGACGTGCAATAAGGGAGGAGAAAAAGAACCTGAAGATCGAGTGACATGAGAGCCCGTCCTTCATCAGTACACCTCTTCACCCGTGATAGACCTTCAACAAGTGTTTCAGCGACAATTTCAATTCCATATTCTGAAAGGACGTCTTGAACCTACACACGCAAAAACATAGTAGGAAATAATTCCAACTAAAACCTCAGCTTTGTAACGTAATTCATATGAGGTGTACATGCTTTAAGAGAGTGTTGTTGAGTGGCAGAAGTTATTTCTAGAACTAACGTATGTCAACACATCATTACTCTCTCGGCCAGCCAAGTAGTGCAGATTATTAAAGTCAACTATAACACCAAAAGTATGAGAAAAATAAATTCAAGTTCTGAACATTCAGGACTTAATATTACCTCCTTCTGAATTCCCCCGTGAGCGAGCCTCGTCTTATAGTGTTTAAATTCCCCCAACAACAAATCGACATACCTATTGAATCAATAACTAGTGTCACAATGCTTGTAAATTGTAATACAAACTTGTCAAAAAGCAGAAATTCAGGAGCACATATTCTTGAAATAGACTATTCAAGCAGAAAGGATTATAAATTTCAAATGCTTGTATATGAATTAACAGATTGCATAAGATATCAGCACGCCCCTTCTTCAAAGTTGCAGATAAGGGGAAAAGAAAAAGCAACATACCACCTTGCAACTGCATCTCTTGCGTAAATTCATTACACTATACTATGTACATTTCAAATGCCTAGAAGAAAAGGTAAGATATAATTAAAGAGGTCATACGAAAGCTGGAAATGTTTTTGAGTGGAAAATTTCTCTTCCAACCTGAGCGAGTGCCTATAGATGAATAAGATCTACCCCAACCAAGTCGCCCCCAAACTGATCCATACGAACCAGTTTGCAATAGTTTCTACCGGAAAAGTTCACATATATTGGTTAAAAGCTTCGAAAGCCAAAATTGATGGCTTGGCCTTCGGGGTGGGTTTGAATTTTGAATGCCCAACTATGAGCTAAACAGAATATAGGCAAACTGCATTTATGGCAGTTCCGTGCCTAATTGAGAACTTTTTATGTAATAGATCTACCAGTTGATGGAAGAAGCATTACATGCACTGTTAAGAACTGGCATGGATCAGGGAGTAATGTAAATCTATAGATCAAGAATTGAAAATCAAACCAACAAGTAGATAAAGGATTAACACCAAGAAAACTGACCCATTATGCTCAAGTCCTAGCTCTTTTACTTCCCATTTTGCATTAGAAATCCGATCGACATATCTGCAAAAAATGAATAAATAATTAACATAAATATTAGTATTGATATGCCATATTATGCAAAAATCTGGTCTTTGATCAGTTGGTTTAGAACTTTTCTTTCTATTAGGCTGAAGATTCCTTGTCCACATACCTACTTTCATGTTTTTTCATTATAACTAGTTGAGCCACGTGCTATGCACACGGAGAATTGTAAGTTTGATCCCACGTCAAAACACGTGATCTAGAGACTAAGTCCATTAGTTAGAGTAGGAGAAAAAAACATATATTTAAAAAAAATCATATGGAAAAACAATTAAAGTTGTACAAGAGCTTTTGAAAAAAAAAAAAAAAAAACAGCTACTTAAGTAGGGAGATATTTGAAAGGAATTATTTTAATTAAGAGAAAGTGAGAAAAAGAAAGTATTTCAAAGAAGGATATTGTAAAAAAAAAATGTCAAAGAATATTAGGAGAAAACAAAAATAGACAGTAAGCAAAAGAAAAGGAGAAAAAAAAAAAAGAAGAAAAGAAAAGGTTAAAAAATAAACTGTATATAAGTTCTAAACAAAAGGGGGGGAGGGAAGAACATTCTCGTCAAAAGCATATGCTAATTAGAAACAAAAAACAAAGGCACAAAAATGAGAATATATTAGTTTTACCCATTAATGTGAAGCAATTGTCTAGCCGTTGTCCTATGAATATGCTCTGTAAGATCTGGTACAGCATCCACCTAGTAAAAACAACTGTACACATTTAATATCATCTGAATCATAGAAACTAATTAAAGAACTATTAATTTCTAAAGCTTCCTATCAGTAAATGAGAAAACCATAGAGGAAGAAAACACACTGAAACCAATTGTCTGTTGCTAGTAACAGAAGGTGAGCAAAACAGAACATACCAAATGTACATAGAAATCTTCAACAACAGCAGCATTACTTTGAAGAAGCATCGACTGGAGACGAGATTTAGATCTATGCAACATTCGAGCGACAAGAGATATAGTGTCAGCGGCTGCACATCTTTCCTGCATTATAGCAGTTATGTCAATCTTTTTCCCCCTAAAGAGGGGCGATTTTATTCGGGCCACATAAACTGCAAAAACTTATACCAAATTGCACTAGCTAAATCTAAAAAAAGCATGACTTTGCAGGAACAAAGATTCAGCACATCTTGTACATAGTTATTTGTGTTAGACCTAGTAAGACTAAGACATTTCAAATTGCATGGTAAAATAATCAATATGAAGGAATTTTGTAAATTAGAAATGGTTTAGAGGCAGAATCCAAGTAGTTAACACTACCAATTAGGTCATAACTTCGATATTAGCAATCAATGTGTTTTAAACAAGCTAACCAACATTGAATTGCATATTCGATGCCAGGTTCAGAGTGTGCATGTGAAGCAATATCCTAAACCCTGTTTACTTTCCACACATGAGATTTGGTAATTTGGAAAACCATATGAAAAAATGAGGTACATAGAATCCCTGCATAAATAGGTAAATATTTAATTTCTAGTTTCTACCCACAAGAACGCAAACAAGGACGATTCACACTCAGAGCCAAAAAAAAAAAAAAAAGCAAAACAAAACAAAAAAACAAAAAAAAAAAACAAGAGATTCACACCTTGAGACCAAAAGACATTGATGCGTGACTTGGAGTGATGTCTGCATGTGTAAACGATGCAGTGAGAGATGCTTGTGAAGAAGACGAGGGTTTTATCCATTGGTCACAATCCTGCGTTATCCTTGATAATGCTGTCTTCAGTCGATCTGAATATTTACAAGACATGATATTTAATTGAGAAAGACTAGAGGGCAGCAATATGCAATAAGACGAAGGAAAAAGAGACCGAAAAATCACTTTTTTTTTCCTTGAAATATTACTTACTATTGATAATGTCAACTGAACCTTTTCCACCAGAGTTATTGTTCTGCTGACCAAACGTTTCAAATACAAAATGAAAGAATATCTCAAACAATTGGCATATACCCTGCAACAATATAATAAATCAGAAAAAGTGGAAAACAATTTAGAGAAAATTAAAAGATACAAAGCAAGTATCAGTAAGAATCAGAGCACATACAGGGAAGCCATAAAGGCTTTTGGTGAATATGAACTTACCTTGAAGAACTCGACATTAACTATTTCTAACTTCTGCATAAGCCTTGCATACTTATCCATTGACCTGATATGTAAATGTCATGAAGAGGTAAATACAAACATAAAAGAAAATACACTAAAACTTGATATTAGACAAGAGAGAAACTTTCGCAATCATAGATCAAAAAGAATGTCACCTTAGAAGGCAAATCGATGATCCTGTTTGAGCTGCACAATCTTCATCAGTCAAACCTGAAGAATGACTTCGCAAACGTGTCGGTTTCGAAATCCGGCTTGGAAGCTGACTATCCTCGTCAATAAAGTCAGCGAGAAGATCTTCATTTTCTTCTTCTAAAACAGAATTAGCACCATTTAAGTGACTTGCATCACTTTTTCGTGGAGAAATCTTATCATCATAAAGATTTTCGGTAAAATGTCCATCAAGTCCACTACAGACTCCTCCGTTAGATTGGTTGGAAGTTTGCGTCATTTTAAGCAAAAATGGGTTCCCATTCTTTAGCCAATGAGAGAACCCACTCTTCCTGGCACCAGTATCAACTGATTTAACAGACTTGTCAAAATGAAGGAATCTTGCACGCCTAGCGTTTGCATCAGATGAAACAAGTAAAGGTGCACTATCGCCAGCAAGCCCAGCAAAACTAATTACTTGGACTGTATCTGGTGGCATTATAATCCAATTTTCTCTCTCCAAAACCATTTTAAGAGCCTGAAAGTAGAATAAATATCAATCTTGGCTGATAAAAAATCTAGTTTTCAATTCTGCATAGATACATAAAGTACAAATGTGGTAATTAATCAATACAAATAAAACGGTAAAAAACATAGGTATTTAATTTTAACTGCATATTAAAATTTTGGAAATGCCATGTCTTGATAAATGATTTTCACAAACTAAAGCAAAAGGATAACATAAAATTATAAACAAAGATGCCTTCAACTGAATCACCGTAACATGATAACAATGTTAGGCAGAAGCCGAAAGAATCTTTCTTGATTTCAGTTATTTTGTACTCTAAAAAAGTGATTCATAATATAATAATTAAAATAGAACGTCATTTATATAGCAGCAGATCAAATAATAAGAAAAGTCAAGAAAATTATTAAATCTCAAAATAAAAATTAATAATCAAAAAGAAGAATCAATTACATGGCAGACTCTACAATAACACTCAAAAATTATTAAAATCTGAAAAAGAAAAACGATATTTTGATGCTGTATTTTTTCAGGAATATTCACATTCTGTGTTTATGACTTCTGAAAAGTGGATGATGGGTCTCCTGGACCCCCATTACGTTTCACCTATGCTAGAAGAAGGCCTAGAAGAGTTTGTGTTGATGTGGCAGCAAGGGATGAGGTGGAGGCTGGTGAGGTGGAATCGGTGAGAGGAGGGAAAGGTGTTGACATGGAGGGGAGTCAAGGAGCTGTTGAGCTCACTGCTGAGTGAAGTGCGTGATGTCTCGGATCTCGAGAGGGCCTCGGAAGAAGAGAAGGGAAGAGGGAAACGGTTAGCGAGAACTAGAGAATAAAAACAAAGAGCAGGGGGTAGGAGGATCGTTCATTGAACTTCTCTGTAATTTTCATAGACGAGCCTTGGCTCTAGGGAGTGCAAGGGGTCACTCGGGTCACTCGAACACCCCCATATCCTCTTGTATTGCCTTGATAATTACAGTTTATATCAATTCCTTTCAATTCTTTCCTCTAATTCTCTAATATTGTGCAGACTAGTACGATTGTAGAAAAATTTAACGTCCTGCCTCCCAAGCATAAACTCTATACTGTCATGAGACTTCTACAAAAATAACATGACCTATATAACTGCTAATATCATTTCTTTTGTTTACTTTTTATTTAAAAAAAAAGGAAAACAATTGCTTCCTAATATTGACAGCAAAGAAAATGAAAACCCTTTAAGTCAAACTTACATAGATATTCTGCCGATGAAATGCTATGAAATAGTTTTCACAGACAACCTTCAACTTCTGTCTGAACTCAACTGCTTCAACTCCACAAAATGCTTCACCGGCCAAAATGAAGACACTGAGGTCTTCATAATTTTTCAAGAATTGATGAATACTAGCAGAACAAACGGCAGAAGAAGAAAGCAACACTGATACTCGACTAGTTGTTAGTTGCCAAAGATTCCTGCGTCCTCTTTGTAGAGTTTGTGAAACAAAGCCTGTGGCATCTTTTCGCAATTGATACCATGGAGATCCACTCGTTGATGTTGCCCTGTCATCCTTCCTCGCCTCATCAACTGGATCATTAGTGCTTGTTTGGATGGAACTTGTAGAGCTAGTAGTGTCCTCAAGGGAAGAGTTGGTAGCTGTCGCTTCCACTGTAGAAGATGAACCAGGAACTCTATACACTGATTCAGCAAGAGAACCATTTAATCTTGGAGAATTTCCAGATGCCAACTCAATTTTCTGGACCTCTCCTGCACTCCTACTGGTATCATTTGCCTTCAGCACAATATTTAAAGTTTGACTAGATGAATCCTGGAGAACGAAGAAAAAAAAAGGTAAAGTTTCTTGAGCAAATGAAATAGAGCAAAACAAGCCAGCAAATAAAAAAGTTCCCGGAAATATCCAGAACACACTACTAGAATCAGAAGGGCTATTGGTGGAGAAAATATTTACACTAGTAACCTAACACATCTATGGCTCTTTTATAAGAAACAAAAATGAACAAATACAACGGTCACGTGGGGGAAATGGTTAGAATAAAAAGGGCTGGATGTAAGGCCAAAATGGCCCCAGAAACATCAAAATCAACCAAAAACTAGGCACTAGATTTCATTGAACTACCAATAGAACAAAGATGTCTGACCAAAACAACATCTGAACAAACTACAAAGTGGTGTACTGAATAAAAATACAAGTGACAACAAGATTTTGAAGTATACCTTATTCTCCAGCTGAAAGCCCATGATTTCATGGTATGAGCACATCAATCTAAAGAGGACAGCTAGTGTACTCAACAAACACTGCCTAAACTTAGATTCAGGTATCTGAAGGCAAAGATCACTGTAGGTAAGTCTGGAAAAAAAAAAAAAAAAAAAAAAAAAAAAAAAAAAACAGAAGAAGAAATATGAACAGTACAAAGAAAGAGAAGGAAAAACACACCTACTATTTTGTTTATTTACTTCCTGATCCTGCAAGGTTAGTCACAATAAGAAAGTGAGCAAAGAACCAAGTGCTATAAACTTTAGGTAAATATTTAGTGAACAATATCATCAAAAAACAGATTAGAGTATTCTTCTATTGTCAAAAGATGTGTGCAAGTTCGTTGGTTCAGTGTTCTGGTTGTTTGTCGTCCTGATTTTATGCTCTCCAGGATTACTACCCTTTCTCTTTGGTTCTTCTGTACTCTTTTTTCTTTTAATAAATTTTCTCTCTTTCTTAACCAATATTTTTATATAAATAAAAAAGCCCTTTTTTGTATGCAAGTGCTCTCTCTCCCCATCACAAGAATCTCAAATAGCCATCCACTCAATGTTTATCGATTAGCAGATGCAATTAAAGAAATTAAATTGTTTTATGCATTAAATAGCCAGTTAATATAAAGTCATCGTCTCAAATCTCTCTACTACAAAGTAGAAAAACACACCTCATGCAAAGTATCCTTCAATACAGAGTGGGTTTCTGCGAGAACTTCCTGCATAAAAAAGCTCTGTATCTTCTCAGCAAGACCGGAGACATCGCCAATGAGTGCATAAGCATCAATGACCTGCTCAGCATTTTCCCAATCTAACAGCTTAAATTTAGATTTCGAGAAGAGATTATGTAACAAGATAAGCAAACTGGCTCAATATGGATAGACTCCATATGTGTATGCTCGAAAGGTTTCACAATTGATAGCATCATTTTCAAGAGAAAATAATGGTTAAACTTCAGCAAAAGTACACTCACAGTAATATAACCCTCTTCTTTGAATTCCTGGCACACTCCCAACAATAGTGAATCCAGCTTTTGAAGAGTTCTCCCCAGCCAAGCCTAGGATGACATGAAAAGTTGTCAATGATATGCAGTATGCAGAAGAAAAATGATAGCATGTGGTTATCAAGAACATGTCATAATAGTAACTAAATATCCACCTCCACATCACGGCTCATCTCTTGCATTGCTGAAAGCTCAGAAAAACTATCCAACAGTTGCAAGTACTCAGATAAGACCTGAAAAGCCTGTAAAAATGACGGACAATGTAAAATAACTTTTAGGAGAGTAATAAGTGGCAAGACTATAATCCCAACCACAAAGAAGAAGCTTGTTTTCTGAGGATCATATACCATAAAACAAAACTGAATAAGATACATAGTCACCTTGCAGTAATTTCCCTCCTCAACAAGTGATTCAAGTGCTGCTTGCATGTCCAATGCATGACGAAGCTCAGTCAAAACAGGAATAATGTCCTATAATTTGCAACAATCAAACAAATCTAAGTTTAAGACTTATGAAAAGCTGCCAAATACTAAACATCCCAGGAAACGATCATGATTTTGTAGGGGAAAAATTAGAAAGTTAAAATTTAGGGAGGGATGGTTACTGCTACCGTATATAAGAAGAGGAATATACCAGAAGAGCTTGCTTCTTTTTGGAATGGGAATTTACAATGAGATCTCTTGAAACCTCATTCACCGATGAGTTTAGATGCCTTCTTCCATTCTGTGAAAAAAAATATGGAAAGATTTAATTTATTCACATCCAGAGAAGTGATCAATGCAAGATGAAGCATGTTTATAAAAAATCTCGAGTCCTTACCATGCAGATGACATTCGCAACCTTTAAGTCTTTCTCCACTTCCCTAACCAAATTCATACCCTTCACTGGCCAAAAGTAAGTATCAACATCTCATTTGAAACTTCACAGCACCAACCGTAGTTTAAACTCTAAATAAATTTATCACATTGCCAAAATTGCTTATTGAAGAAATGCAAACACTAATATAGACTTTTCACAGTTCAAAGAAAGGAATAAAAGAATTTCATGGGAGGACTTACCCATTACTTCATGATGCTCCATAACATGTTGGGACAAACGTTCGGCTACTCTATCCAGTTGTGCTAATCTAAGAGCAGCCTACAAAAAATTTTTAGATAAACAAAATTTTTGGAAATCCAAAAATGCACTTGAAATTGTACAAGCAAATTCATAATTCCAAAAGAAAACAATAATCAACAAGAAGGTCGCTAATGAAATTAAATAGGGCCGACATAACATTTATGCCTTTATGTAATTATCCAAACTTAATTTCCTCGTACAAGCAACCAAAGCCAATATACAAATATACAGACACTACTTTAACCAAATAGATGCTACCTTAAGTATTAGAATTTGGTGAAATATTCACATAGTGCATGCTCTATAGGTGGGTGAATAATAAGACCTAAAAAATCAATTCCTCGTGCATCTAAAGAAAAAACTGCCCCCAATAACAAGTACAATGCTGAGCATGTAGATTTAACTTCCAGAGATTACACCTCATTTAACAGTAGATAAAAGCCAATAAAAAAATAATGAATCTAGAATACGTTAAACACAAGGACAGAGGAAGAAATAAGATCTCACCTGTTTCTCAAAATACTCCAGCTCATTTCCTTCAGATGGAATATTTTCTAAAATATGCCTTATGGGATCAAATTCCTGTTTGTTGGCATTTACAAGAGCACGGGTAAATTAGAAAAGAATTTGAAAATAAATCACACATGCCAAAAGAAAAAGGATGATTACTCAGCAAGGGGGCGGGGCAGGGAAGAGAAACATAAAAAATCCCAAGTGGCATGTAAACCCTGGATATATTTTCTTTTCTTGTGTTTGTGGCAACTTGGAAATACTTAGATTGTTGTGTTTGTAACCAACTTGGCACAACTTGTTTCCGGGGTCAATAATTAGAAAAGAGGTGATAAAGGGAAGTGTAAAAGCAGGGACAGAGAGGCAAAGATACCAGAAGTGAGGGAAGGGACGTGTGGAAAATAGTGCTAGATTCAAAACTTTTTTACACAATCTTCTCACTGTGCAAAAAATAGCATCAACAAATTTCTAACCCCAAAGGTTGGACGACTGAATCTCTACAAGATATAGATATGTGATATCGTGCTAAAATAGCACAAGCAAGGTGTAGTGTAGTTGCGTAACAAGAAAGAGCGTAGAAGCCATAACCATTCCCACATGAAATTCATAGTGATCTAAGAAATTAGCACCTCTTCATAAAAGTCTTCTTCTAGCTCTGCTACAACTTGACCATGAGGTCTGCCTCCATATATTGAGCTTAGTTCCTCGGAGCTTGATGAGAGGCAATATCTTTGATGAGGGGGGAGACCAGCAAGGGCACGAGCAACAGCTGCAGCAGCTGCAGCTTGAGGTGGAACCTATTTAAGGAGATAAAGAACATTCAGAATAAAGTTCCTCTCACACAAAGATAACAATTAGTAAATTCAGCCAGATCACTTAAGACCAATGCACTGTCCGATGCCAAAGAAATAGCAGTAGCAAAACATTTTTTTAAAATATACAAAAGTTTTATCCCAATGCAAATTCATAAATTCATCGTGAATATAATAACTACTATTTTGATATCTCACTACAGGCTCACTAAAGAAGATAAAATAGCACCTGTATGTTTAGAAAATCAATATTTTTCTCTCTGTACTATTTGTAGACCTTATCATTGTAGTTTTTTTTTTTTTTTTTTTTTTTTTTTTTTTTTTTTAAAAAAAGCAATCAAAAAAAAAAAAAAACAATAATACAAAAATACAAAACAAAAAACAAATTTAGCTGTCCCCTAGGAAAAAGAAAGACATCACTTAAAACAATCAGTGGGTGAGCGAGAAATTAGAAATAAAATTGGCTCCACCCCAACATCTAAGTAAATTCCCTTCTTTTAACAATAATTTTGTGAAAAAGAAATAGTCCTGGTGTTTCCACTCACTCTCAGCAGCTAATTGATAGGGTTCGTAGATTCTTCACCACTTTATCACCATGAAACCAAACTTTGGAAAAACAACGACATAAGAACCCAGCAAACACCAGTCAGCTTAATAAACACAACATACGGTCCTGGGTTTGCTTGATATACATTGTTAGGCTCATTTTCCACAAGCACTAACTCAATGATGCATTTATTTAACAGAATATTTAAGCCCTAATTTTGACAGGACTGAGTGACTATAATTGTATATTATCTTACCTTGATGTACATTGTGAAGCCCTTTCCAATCAGCATAACATCAAGTTAAAATGCCTTTGTTTTTCGTTTCTTTAAACTGCTGAGAAAATTAATGATTTATAAAAACAAACCCTATCGTTCAAAAAGGCAGTATGATTGAGCCAAAACATTTTATTTTCAAAATTTCACTCGTTTTCCTGCCTTTCATTAGTATTAAGCCTCAATTCCAAGTGTTGCGACGTATTATCTTATCTTAGTGTACATTGTGAAGCCCCTTTCCAATCAGCTTAAACATCCTTTTCAATCAGCTTAAACATCAAGTTATGAATTTTCTTTCCTTCTTTGGAATTATTTAAGCAGGTACTATAATTCAAGAAGCACGACAAATCAAAAAATTTATTTTAAAAATCTCTCATATTCCCACATGTCTTTAGCAACCACACGCACAATGCTTCAATTACGCAAAGTATTTTAAACCCTAATTGCAATGCCATCAGCTGAGTTTTACGATATATTGTCTTAGCTTGATACACACTGCTAAGCCACTTTTCCAATCAGCTTACACTTCGAGAAAAACGTTTTTCTTTCCCCTTATCTGTTTGGCAGCTGAGAAAGTTAAATGCTTACTTAAGTAAGCACAATAATTCAGTAAAATCAAAACATTTATTTCCAAATTTCACTCAGTTTGTTCGCTAACAATCATGACTAGACAGTTCGATAAAATTACCAATCAAACACCAAAATGTTCAGATTCAGGAAAGAGCGAGAAAAGAAACCAAAAACTAGCCACATTACGAAAATTGATCAGGAAAACAAAAAAAAATTACCTCAGGGCGATCGGAAGTGGAAGAAGGAAGAAGACCGAGCGATCTCGCGGACCTAACGGAGCTGAGAATCTTCTCCCCGACCTTGGAGAAATCCATCTCGCCTCTTTGGGACAACAAAAAGGGGAGAAAAAAGAAAAGCCTAGAGCTCTCAAAACCCTCGCTCAAATCGCCATTGAAAAGGAAGGGGTTTCCGAGGACGGTGCCGAAGGGGAAGAGATTCGGCTGCATTTCAACTCGAATCTCCCAGATTGAGCCCTAGAATTCCCATTTCAGCAACAAATCGACTCGAATTTGAGGAGATCTGAGTGGTGGAGTTCTTCTTCTTCTTCGTCTTCGATCAAATTTGGGATTTGTTAGGGTCGGTGAAGTTTAATTGCTTTTTGTAGACTTTTTTGTTTAGCTTTCTTTCCTCGCTTGACCTCTCTTTCTTTCAAGTTCCTATATATACTTCATTTGGTTATTATTAAGAAAACTTTTTTTTTCTTTTTTTTTTTTTTGAATGAGAAGCAAAAAATCATTTTTTTTCCCCTTCCTGGATTAGTGTACTGTTTTCGTAACGATGCTCAACCTATTTAAGAAATTAAAAAAAAGAATTTTTCGGTAATTTTTTTTTTTATAAATAGTGTCAATTTCTGATTTTTAAATTTAATTAAATTTAAAAAAATGTGTTAAATAAATAATTTTTAATATAAATTTAACGATTTAAAAATAGAAAATAACTTTTTTGATATGAATATCAACCTAACTTTTGTTATTATTATCAAAAATCAATTAATTACTCGTTTCAAAAAAAAAAAGTAATAAGGTAAAATCTTTTTTAAGTAAATTGGCTGTCTTTTTTTTTTTTTTTTTAAAGGAATGCTCGTGAGGAGAAAAAGACCATTAGCCAATGAAGATGTTACGAGCACTGTGAAAATATGGCTTTTATTTTTTTTTAATAGATTAGGGTTCCGTTTACTTTGCTGATTCGAGTTTTTTTACAGTAAAAAGCTCTCACAAACAATTACATCTAACTTTTTTGTTACAGTAAAAAACTCTCACATAAAGTCACATCTCAATTCGAATTATAAACTCGAATCAACGAAGTGAACGGGGCCTGTGAACTAGTGTTATATTGTATAGTTTTACGTTGATAGTAATAGACATAGGAAAATATGAACTATGTCGAGGTCTATTTTGTATAACCTTATATTGCTTGTAAAGGCATAGGAATTTGGATTATAAAAACCATTTTGTAAAGCCATGATTTTAATGCTAATTCATTGATTTTGCCCATAATGATGATCAACATCAATGAATTTTTCTTGACATGTTCACAGATTAACAACCAATGACCATTATATATTACAACAAAATTTAGCCATTCTCATTGAAGTCACACAACCCCTAACAACTAATAGCCAATCCTTATATTTTTCAACCAAATAACATTACACAAGAATGATCGTTACAAAACTAAGAGCATTAGCTGGCGGTTTGGGCAGTTTTCCCTAAAAACCACCAATCAACCTAACCCAAGCTCTTTTGGTAAATCTTTGTTTTATTTGCAAATCTTTTATTTATCAGTAGAATAATCTGTATTCTTTTAGTAAATCCTGATAATTCCTTTATTTACACTATCAGTACATTTGGATTTGATGGTAAATCCCTTATTTACCAACAATAGGTAAAAACCATAGATCTGAAAATCTTGCATCCCACCACTAGGAGTGTAAGAAATCCGGCCTACCCGACCATAATTCAGCCTACCACACCCGACCCTACCCGAATATTCAGTTTTTTTTTTCCCGGTTTCAAATAGAGTAGCCTGAATTTTGCGTGTAAGGACGCGGGCCGGTCTCTTTTCAACCCATGGTAGCCCAACCCGCCTGATACTATTCAACCGTAAAATTCTCAATTCGCATTTATGTTTCTCACTTCTCAGTTTATTCTCCCTCTCTCTCTCGATTTGAACCGCTAATCCTTATGGCATGTTTACTTACTAGGAATGGAAAATGAGAATTAAGAATCGGAATCAACCGCATGTTTACTTACCCATTTTTATCTTGGAATGTGCGTGAAAATGGCACTCCTAATAGTTAATATTAATTACGATTTTACCTTTAATTCTACAAACAAATTTGTGAATAGAAAAATAAAAAATAAAAAAATTGAAAAATGCCCTAATTTACTTTCACGCTTCTCATGTCTCATTGCTCACTTCCTCTTATTTTTTTTCTTTTCTTTCTTTCTTACTAGTGCCATGGACGAATTCTTATCAATGCAAGTAATTAAATGAAACTAAGTTTTTTTTCATGCTTATAATTTGATTCTTGTGTTATGCCTATTGCTTTTCATTTTTCAATTTATATCCTAAGCTGATTTATGTTTTCTATAATATGCAATGCAATGCTAAATCTAATTTTATATGTTAATAATGTAGAGTAACTATGTTTTAACTTTTAACACGAAAGAAGAGAGTGATTAACAAAATCTAATTATTAATTAGTTATCCTAATTTAGATGATTAATTAGGTGTGATTAAAAAAATCTAATTACTAATTAGTATTCCTAATATTAAGATAGTTAGCATAATATATAATTTTTTTTTAAGTTCAACACACAAAAATCTACTAAAAGAGCAGGCAAGTAAATTTATAACAATTTATTCTAATTATGGGCGTAAGTAAACGCATGAATGTGATTGAGACTGATTCCGACTCTGATTCTTGAAACCTAAGTAAACAGTTTATTCTGACTCCGATTCATGTCCACTCCAAATTCTGTCCACGTCGTTTCATGTTCATTCCGATTACAAATAAGTAAACATGCCATTAGTCTCTCTGAGTGTTTCCTCCATCGCCGCTTCTTCTTCTTCTTCTCAGTTCCTCCGCTCCACCGTTCCTCTTCTTCTTCATCTCACTTCCTCCGCCGTAGCCACCCAGATTTCAATCGGTTCAGGTTCCGCCGTTCAGGTAGGGGTATTTCCTCTATCCAAGGTTTCATTTGCTCAAGAGAGAGAGGTGGCTAAGTTTGCTCAAATGTATCAAATTCTTTGCTCATTTCCCTGTCTTAAGTTTTTTCGTTTCTTATTGGAGAGTTTTTTGGGTTGAATTTTTAATATGTGCAGTTTAAACCTTGGAATATAATTTCAAAAAAAAAATTATGCAAAGTTCTTTCCGTGATTTGTACAACGGCAGTGAACTTAATTTCAAACCTAGGATTCTTTTGCCTTTTCTTTATAGCATGTTTTGCATGGAATATGGAATCCTAGAAATATATGTGTGTATATATATATATCATGGCGTGCTCACAGTAATTTAACATGGCTTGATAAATGGATTGTGCCATGAGAATGACACACAGCCCAGGCCCGCCCCTAATCATTCATGCCCAAACTGATCAACCCGTAAATCCGGCCTACCCGAGGTAACCCAAAAGGTTACGGGTAGTAGGGGTGTTGCGGTCCAATATTCCGTCACCCGGACTTGTGTGGCTCGGCCCAACCCGAACGGCCGATTTACAAGCCTGCCCACCGCTACTGTGGTGAGAAAGATCAGAACAAAGGCTCACAAACATAGTTCTCCATCAAGGTTCTTGCTTTTCAAGCCGATCTATCCCGCGCCTTTTTGTGACGATTGTTGTCGTTGCTCGTGAGAGTGACAGTAAACGTTGAATACCGGCGTTCTAGTAGAGAGATATGGGAAGAGATGGAGGGATGAAATTTAAGGTGTAATTTTGGTATTTTGTGGTGTAGTAAGTATGGATTAACTATAATTATGCTACATAATAACTTTAAGTCAAGTTTGTGTTATATTACTCTAATCCCTATGTAAAATAAGTTATTTGCACCATTCCTCTTTTTTTTTTTTTTTTTACGAGGCTTAGTGCATGTTTCTCACAGTTAAATGTTGTCAACATCTAATAAAATGAAAAAGTACGCAAAACTAATAAAATTTGATATAGATTTGAAGTTTCAAAATACAACGCTACTGGCAAGGTGTTTTTTCACATCCTACCTTAAAATTCTTAATTTTTGAAATCTACATGGTAAAGTGTCCCAAGTCTGCCTCTTAGCTATGGCTTTCTGGAATGTGTTCATGGTCTCTATGAAAAGAAATTGGGCTAAACAAAAGCTGAAATTTTATTGCATTGTGATTAACTTATGCTTCCAATTTTAGTTTCTCCCACAGGTGCATGGGATGAAGCTACATATATTGTTTTTTATGGGAATTTGGATGGTATCCTTTATTCATGATGGGATTACCCACAAACACACGCACACAAACAAAGCATAAGACTAAGAAGAGCCCAAAAGAAGCTCCTGGGATACCGAGACAACTCCCCTGCAAGCGAGGTGAAGTTAGCAACCAGAGAACGAGCCTATGAACGATAACTCACTCCTTCGCCACTCACCACTTCGCCTATGCGGTATGCCTTGTGTGCTTCATTTGCAAACTCAAGTATTCTCTGTGACGCCTCTGCACTCACAACCAAAACCATCCCAATACCCATGTTGAAAGTCCGCCTCATCTCAGCTTCTTCTACTCTTCCTGCCTATCAACGAAAATTATAGAACATATGAATAACGAAAAAAAAAAAAGAAGCTGCACAAGAAATAAAGAAAAGAAAAAAATGAGGGGGGAAAATAAAGGTGCCAATGGACACCATCTGTTTACCTCTTGGATCCATTTAAAAACAGTAGGAACATCCCAGGAATCCTTGTAAATAACAGCTCCAAGGCCTTTAGGAAACACCCGAGGTATGTTGTCAGTGAAGCCGCCCCCTGTGATGTGAGCAATCCCCTTTACGCCTCCTTTGCTAATCAAATCAACTACCTGTTTAAAATTAGGAAAACAGAGATTAGCAAACATACAGAAAGGATTTTAAGAATTCATGTTTGTAAGAATACGCATCATGATAATGTCGAGCTATCGATCTTAACCTGCTTAACGTATATCACAGTTGGTGCAATCAGAGCTTCACCTAGTGTTATGGCCTCACCAGGAAGTCTGTCTTTCAAAGATAGTCCACTATGGGCCAGAACCCTGTGAAACACGTACAACAAGACATAAAAATCATTGTGTCAACAGATCTAAAGAATTAAACAACAAAAGACATTCTTTAAGATGAATTTGTAGTTAAAGCTCCCTTTTTGCAAACCTTCTTACGAGAGAGAAGCCATTGGAGTGGACTCCACTAGAAGGCAATCCGATGAGGACGTCTCCGGCCACAATGTTCTTACCGTCTATAACTGAATCCTTCTTTACAATGCCAACCGCAAAACCACTGAGATCATACTCACCTTCTGCATAGAAATCCGGCATCTCTGCTGTCTGAAATACACATGAAATTCACGAAGACGAACCTAAGAGATTGAAATTCTCTACCCCTTGCATTTACATTCTGCTAAAAAAGATATACCACTTGCTCATTTTTTATGCCAACAAATCACTATAACAAAATGTGTAGTAGATTTATTTACTTGAAGTACAAGTCAAGAACAGTAGATATTGGCCCCCTTCCAATCGTAGGTCATCTAAGAAATACTAAAATTGCTGATTACAAAAGAGTTTTCTTTTTCTTTTTCTTTCTTTTTTGGCGTAACATGAAACAAAAAGACTTTAGCTTTCAGCATAAAAAGCATTTAATTTAACAAAGGTTTGATAAAATAACTAAGTGAATACTCGAAGCAGAGCTCACTTGACTTCTATATAAAAGCTAAAATTTAATATACTTATTTGACACCAACATTTAAACCATAAAATGATGATTCTCTAGAACCTAAAAAAAAACCACTATAGGAAATCACCATAGCAGCCTTGTGTTCTCTACAAAGTACAAACGATCAAAAACCAAAAGGCAAAAATTAAGAAGATGAAATCACAAAGCATAATAGACGAGAGGTATACATAATCGAAAAGTACATAAATCATTAGTTAGATTGTTTTATATAAAGATGAAGAAGACAGGCAATAAACCAACCCCAAACTATTTCACTATTAGCCTTCTAATAGTAATAATAAATGAAAAAAAAAACCCATTTCTCTCCTAAAAAATAATAATAATAAGTAGATAATTGAAAAGTAATAGAAAAAATAATTACCTCTCCACCTAAAAGAACACAGTCTGATTGTTGGCAACCATCAACAATGCCTTTTATAACCTAATAAATAAAAAAAGAACAAAAGAAAATATATGATTATACTTATGATCAAGAGTGACTAAGCAAAGCGAGACATGTATGAATATAATCAAAGCTCTACTTACCTTCTCAGCAAGATCAACGTCAAGTCGACTTGTGGCAAAGTAATCAAGAAAAAACAGCGGTTTCGCACCAGAAGTAACAATATCATTAACACTCATTGCAACCTGGAAATGAATGTTACCCAATTAGCAACAAACCCATCAAAAACTAACCAATTCTGATTCATTTCCAAAAATCTTTACCAGATCAATCCCAATGGTATCATGGATTCCAGTCTCAAACGCAAGCTTAAGCTTAGTCCCCACACCATCTGTACCCGCAACCAAGAATGAATCACCTACAAAATATCAATACACAAAACAATATTATTCAACAAAATTTAAAGAGAGATAGAGTGAAAAAAACAGGTAATGTTGTAATGTTATACCGAGAGGAAAAAGACCACCAAAGCCTCCAATACCAGGAGCCATTTTGGCGATTCTGCGAACGAGTTCGGAGCCAGCGTCTATGTCAACACCAGCATCCTTATATGTAAGACCAACACCATTCTTCGTCGACATCTTAGCAGATACACTTGTTTTTTCATGGAGGGATAGCTTTGAAAAGAGAGGAGCGGATGAAACGGTGCAGACACTGCGCTGGCTGGCGTCGGGTTTCGGAGAAGTCAGCCTTCGTGTTGGTGAAGCTGCAAAGGGCTTTGCAGTGGTTGCTTTGAAGCTTGTAATCATGACCACCAACACCTGAGAACTAGCTGGAGAGATAGAGAAGAAAATATAATGCGATAGGTAAATAAGCTTTAGGCTGTGTTTGGTAAGAGAGAAAGCAAACAAGAAATCCACTCCCTCCTCTTTTCTCTCCGTTAAACCGTTAACTACCGGAAGTTTGCCAAAATGTCAACCTTAATGAGTGAAATTAGGAAAATGACCTTTCACTTTTACACTGAGCAATCCACTTGGTTGCTCAGTGCAAACTCCGAAGCCATTTTGCAAATAAAAATCTTTTGAAAAAATCATTTTACAAACTGTGTTTAGAGTAAGGATTCGTGTTATGGTTCGGATCATGATTTGTGACTCGCTACAGTGTTTTCTTTCATAAAAACACATGTAAATCGAAAATGGTTCTGAATTATGGTTCTTAACCCATGAATCAAACGTCCACCGTTTCTCTTAAAGTCATTTTACAGAGGCCCCGTCCACTAATCCCGTCACACCTCTCCCTCCTTCAACTTTTCCATCCTATCAAACAAGCTCCTCGGATTTTTCTGGTTGGGATTTTTGGGACAATCTTTTGTCCTTTTTTTTTTTTGGAATTTTGTTTCTAAGAGTTAACAAGTGAAAATACGTAAGTTGTATTATTTACATATAAGTAGAGCACATACATAATAGCAAACAGTTGGCGTGCAAGAGTAGAATAAGAGACCACAAACCGTTAAGTTTGTCTGTTAACATATCATAAGAATATGATGGAGTATAACTTTTTTTTTTTTTCTCTAATCAGCAAATTAAAAACTCATTAAGCTTATCTATTAATGCCTTTTACTTTGTAGGATTTTTTTTTCTCTCCTCAAATATCTCAACATCAGTACATTAGAAACTTACTAGAAGAAACTATTCAAAAATAATAATTGAATAAGAATTCCAAAAAAAAAAAAAAAAAGAAAGAAACTTACAAAATTGAGTTTGTGCAGAGAAGGACGCGCAGTTGCTGTTGTTGGCGTGGTGGGCAGGGTGGCGTGTGAGACTTTTGGGTGACAAAGGCGAGACTGGCTGTGAACAAAAATGGGGTTTTAGCACTTTTATTCCAAATCTTTTCAAGTTTTGATAATTTGCCCACTATCCTTTTTATTTTAACACCTTATTCTCTTAACTTGCCAAATTACTACGCTCATGTTTATTTCACCAGTTTAATTCAATTCAATTCAGTTTAAACTGACGTTTGTTAAGCATACAGTATGAATTATATTCCTCGCTTGAACTAAGTTAAACAACTCAATTTAGAGTTTAACTCCCCCATCAAGTTCAACCGCTCAAATCATTTTTAAACAGTAAAAAATGCCCACTCTCTCTGCTTTTCATACATACTAAACACAAATAAGAACAAAGTTCAAACCAACCAACCAAATAGGGCCTACAATGTTCGCCACTTTCGTAATTTTTAGGTTAGATTTGTGGTTTGATTCGGAGATTTCAACGGTTTGTGTGGAATTTGAATTGATATTTTGAAGAATTTTAGAGCTTGTTCTTTTAGAGTTTAACTTGAGTATAATTCTTGAGTTAAATTTGAGTTATAACTTGAGTTGAACTTGTAACTTGAGTTTGTGTTTGGTTGTGTACATTTGAGTTATGGTTTGAGATAAGAATCTTTTTGAATTTGTGTTTGAGTGAGTTAAAACTTGAATTTGTATTTGGATAATATTTTAATAAAAACTCAATGCTGATGAAAAATTTTAATAGGGTATATGGGTCAGGTTTTATTCGTCTTTTCATTGTCAACGCATAGAAAAAAAAATCATCTCAATCAGAATTAAAACGAAAAAATTATAGCATTTTTAAAAATAGAAAAAATACTGTTCATTAATTTGAGTTTGAGTTTCTGAACTCGAGTTAAAAGGGAAACTTGAACTCGAGTTTTAGTCATAAACTCGAGCTTGAACTTGAGTTTAAACTCGAGTTTAAACTTAAAAGAACATGAACTCCAATAAAGTTGTAACTCGAGTTGCATTTTTTTGAGTTTTTTACTCAAAAGAACAAGCCGTTAGTAAGAGCAGTCTTTTTCCATCCTCAAGTGAGACCATGGTTGGTTTTTTTTTTTTTTTTTTCAGGATTTAAGTCATTTCATTAATTTAAATTATAACTCAAATTTTTATTATAATATTTTTTTAAAAAAGTTTAAATTTAATTTTTTATATTATAATATTTTTTTTCATATAAATTTATTTTTCAACTAGAATTAAAAATTTGAATAGATTTTTACAAATTAAAAACGTAATATCTCGTTTATTTCATCGATTTAAATTTTTATAGTGAAAAATTTTTAGAAAATGTCACATTTAATTTTTTTTATTATAATAAAAAACTCTCAAAAAATATTACATCTCAACTCAAATTAAAAACTCGAATCCGTGAAAGTTTCTAAAACTCAAAAAGTTCAATTTAAAGGCAAGAGTGCTTTTTTTTTTTGTGAGGCCAAACTCGAAAACGACATTGCGTTCGAGTAGTAGGCAAAACGGGTCGGGTAGGGCCGGTAGATTTTATTTACCTATCTCTTCAAATGAATCGAATCCATCATCTCCAGTAGTTTGGAAGAGCAGAGAGCAGAAGCCGAGCGAAGAAGAAAAGGAAGAAGTGGGGGCAATCAAATTTCATTTTCCATTCTCTTCTTCTAAACCCATTTAACGGTAAGCACTTCCCAAAAAAAAAACCTTTCCTATTCATCGTATTTGGGTTTTAATTCAATCCTAATTTTATGGGGGTTTTTGACACCTATTTCTCGTTACCCATTTGGATTCGCCTTCTGGGTTACCGTACATGATTGTTTTCTTTTCGTTTTCTTTAATCTCCCAAGTCCTTGATGCTATAAGATAGTGATTTTGAGTTATTTTATTGACAACTTAGGCCTATTTAGTTATTGAGTCGAGTTTTTAATTTGAGTTGAGATGAGATTTTATGTGATAATTTTTTATTAATAAAAAAATTAAATGTGACTGTTTTTGAGAGATTTTTACTATAATAAAATTTAAATTTTAAACTCGAATCGGTGAAATAAACGGAGTCTTAATAGTTGACTTAGATGCTTAGATGAAAAAAATGGTGGAAAGTTTCATTTTCCTTGGTAAATTGTTAAATGTTCATCAAATCAATATAATTGTGCTTATACATTGTATGATTTGTGAATACTTATTATTTAGGGCCAGTGTGGTTACTACAAATACAATGTCTGTACAGATGCAATGAAATTCCGAGTGGGTTGAGAAATTCTTATTGTTTTTACTGTTTCAGATTGGCTTTAGTATTCTCAGTGTGGAAGTTACTTTACCATTCTTGTTTGTGTATTATTGAGATCCCCTTAAATGAATTGTAGTTTTACTTGTACTCTGCTCAAGTGTAGTAAATTTTCTCATGCCATCTAGATAAAACCCCCGGGAAAGGGAAGTGCATAGCGTAAAGGATAATAAGTTATGTATCAAAATTTATGTGTCAATTGATGTGACAAGGGAATTGTCTACTGTATTTAGAATTGATCCTGTTTTTGTTTTTTACGTTTTTCGAGAAAGAAAAATAAAAACGTTTTTAAAACGGCGTTTAGCGCAGTAAAAGTAAAAAACGGAAATGAAAATGATTTTTTAGTTTAGTGTAAAATGAGAGAGAAATGAAAAATGATTTTTAGTCGTTTTTTATTTTTATTTTTGTTTTCTCTTCTTTCGAGCACATAGAGATATACATATATATATTAATAGGTTTTTTTATACTGAAAATAATTTCTAGATAAAACTACTAAACGCATTTTTAAAAATGATTTTTGTCTGAAATTGAAAACGTTTTCATTTTTATTTTCATTCAAAAAATAAAATTATTTTCGAACGAGTTCCAAACGCGCTCGTCATTTCTCAATCTGTGAATCTATTCATAGAAAAATGTACTTTTGACGAATTGAAAATCAATAACTCATTTGCCGTGTCACTTAATAAAATAAAGGGGATTATCTAGCATTGTCCTTGTGTAAACCTTGTCATTGACTCATAGGTATATTAATATTGCCTTGCCAATTTGTTAATGAACCTCTTGCTAAATCCCGTGGTTCAGTCTTCAATTTGGTCGTTCATTTTGTCTGGCAATCGAAGTAATGTTTTGTTTTTCTTTGTTTACCTTACTTCAGGTCACAAGCTCAGTTTTTTTGCACTGTAATCTCAATGACCCGCTCAAGAAATGCCATAGTTGCTACGGGCTTACTCACTTTTGCAGCTGCAGGATTGGCATTTCCCTTTTATGTGGCGTGAGTACATCATGCATCTCACTACTAATGCACACTTTTGTTGATACCGTGACATCTAAAAAACTAAAGTTTATGTTGTTCTATCTAGGTCATCAAAGAGGCCTGTCATTGACCCGACAAAGCCATTGCCTCCCCAAGCAACGTTCCGAGGGCCTTATATTAACACTGGTTCTCGTGATGTTGGACCTGATCATCAAACGTACACAAAAAAGTGAATCTTGTCCTCCTTCCCATAGGGTCTCTGCTTAAGGGTATGATCAAAAGATATCTCTGCTTAAGGGTATGATCAAAAGATATGCCTGCTGCTGCTGCTGCGCATTGTTCTTGAACCGAATATCAGTTTAATAAGTCGTACACTATCTGGTTGATAAGTTGTTCCTCCTTTAGATTGAGGGATATGTCTGAATTGCCGAACTATAAGGGTGCGTTCACTTCGTGGCTTACACTCGAATAAGGCCAACTCGAGTTTGTTTTTGGGCTGAAATACGCGTTCGCTTACCCAAACTTGAGTTTGAAATTCTAGTAATAACTCGAGGAGGTAAACTTCACCCACCCCTCAAACTCCCATTACTCGAGTTATTTTCTACAGTGCAGATTCCTCTCTTCTGACATTTCTTCCCGTTGGATTTCTGCTGCCTCACGAGAAAGCTTCCGCTCTGCTCCGCAAAAAGCTTGCAGATTCCCTTCAATAAGACCAACAATTCATCCACTGTGAAATCGCTTGGACCGCTGCACTCCATTCCCACAAGCGTGTTCTTCTTGGACCGCTGTGAAATCGCTTCATCCACCAAATACCCACCCCCGGTGAAGTTGCTCGCAGGTACATCCCATATAAACCCAGCCCAAATCGGCAATATTGGGGAATCCCGATCCCTAGATTCCGTTGTTGCTTTCTCCTTCAGTGATTAAACATGGGAGAAATTGATCCCATGCGAGTGAACCGACTTCCTCCGTTGGCCGTGCTCCTGCGTCGATGTAGCGCCAAACGCCGTCTCCGACCTCCGAAGCGTGCTCCTAGGAATAGAGCTTTCTGTTGTCGGTGCCAGTATTCATATCTTCAACGACGTCCATCACAGTCGCGTTTGGGGGTTGTCAAAGTAGATCAACCATTGTCCTCTTTCGGATCAAACACGGTAAGACCTTTTTTATACTGATATACACTTCCATTGTCTCTGCATATGCCGGTGGATGATTACACTGCTAAATCTTCTCATCGTCGTTTTTATTGGGTTTTTGTTATTTGGATGTCGTTTACACTGAAGTACAGCATGTTCATTTTAAATTCTTGACATGAAGTTGTATGATTGCTGTTGCACACTTTTGTGTAGTTGTTTGAGTTATTAGAAGCTCTTCATACGAATTCAAAAATCGAAATTAATACAATGGTATGAAGCATGTTTTGTTGTTTGAATACTTAGGCAAATCTTGAGATGCAAATTTCCTTCCCGACATACAGTAGTTACTTGCTATAAGACATATGTTTACTAACAACTTACTCAGAAACAGAACTTTGATGTATGAAAACTAGAATGAAATGTGTTATTAAAGGCCCGGTAATGTGTTATTTTGTGATACATTCATTAAGAAATGTGTTTACTCCTGATGCATGAAAGCTAGAATGATAGATATCCTCGTATCGCAAATCAGAAGTGAAGACTTTCTTGGAAAATCGACTTCAATCAAAATTTGAATAACTTAGTGGCCCACTTAGAGCAACTTACACTTTAAAGAGAAACAAAAATGGAGCAAATTTAGTGCAATGTAAAGAAAACAAACCTTTCTCCATTAATTGAACTACGGCTCAAGCATGATGTTATTTCTTTCTCCCTCTTATTAGTGGGAAAGATTAAAAATTAAAAAAAAAATGATAACAACTCATTTTTAAGAAAATAAGATAACTTCAGGATAATACTCACCTGCCCACTCAATACCTTCCCCTCAATGTCCTGAGCAGCTTTCTTAAATTTCTCAATACCCTAAACACAGAGAGATAATCAAGTCAGTTTCATTGCATATAGGATGCAATTACATGCGCAGGGTTTATATATCCTAGAAAGTTTATTTCTGTCGAGTTATATAGGCATGGGACCACAAATTAGGATGAATGCTTTACTGGAAAGAGAGGCAAACGCGCAAATGCAATTCATTATTATTCGAAGTGTAGAAGGCAAGTAATAATAACGTAACACCTGTCAGCTGATCAATCATTCGTATAGATTATAGTTGCTTGCCCTTGCCCTAAGTTATAGAGAGAGAGAGAGAGATCTTGGTTTAGATTCTGTGCCAGACACAGTCAAGCAGCAAAGCATACATGTGATGAGTAGAGGATATATGTATACCTACATGTTTGTTTAGTTGTTTATGGTCATAGATTGTGCTTGTTGGGGAAAACATCCAAGTGATAAATTTGCTAGTATACGCGATATATATAGATATTGCACACACACACACACACATATACATATATGCTATATGTTTATATTTATATGGCGAATACACATGTATATTATGCCTCTACATACTATATTAAGACTACTACTAGACTAGTAAAAGAATCTGATCACTCGTGTGGCAAGTGTGAAAGTGAAGAGGTGGAAATTTTACTAGCATTCTGGGCATACCGCGCGTTAGTTGTTTAACAAAACCATAATTAACTAGCTAGTCTAGGAAAATTAAGGAGTCTAATTAGTGCATTAAATATTTAAAAAAAAAAATTAAATCACTATAGTTACGTTGATAGAAACAAGATAAAGATTTGATGGACTTGAAATTAAAATCCGCCAACTGTTGCGATGAGATCATCAATTATATAAAAAAGTTGAGGGAATTAGATATTAAGGATCAGAGAAGTGCCACAGGGCATAATCCACCTTTTTTTTTTTCTCAATAAATAAAAATCTCGTCCAGCCCATTATTGAAACCCTCAACATCCACTAGTAAGCCCCTTTCCTTTGCCATTAACTGCAGGAAAAATCATTAGGCGTAATGCACATTTAAAAAATATGTACGGTGTACCACAACAAAATGATGAACTCCACGTACCTGAGTCAAATCTAAAGGGAAACCATATGTATCTAAAGGTGTCTCCACCCTTTGGTGGCATTTTTTGGAAGTATGGAAACATTACTCATTGTAGTGTGTCGTGTTATATTAGATGCCAAGAGGGAGACCTGAAGATGAGTCCACTCTTCACTGGATAGAAAGGCAAAAAGAGGAGTTGCTTATGCGACTCGCTGCTTACAATCGTAGTGCGAACGGACGAAAGCCCGATTCTAAAGCATGGGAGGATTGGGCGAAAGAACTTCAAGAGTTTTTCAAGGATCAAGTGACTCCTGCCAAAGTGCAGCAGATGAAAGTCCGTCTGAAAGCCAAGTTTGATCATGAGCTAATGTTACGCAATAACACAAGACTTGGCTGGGACCCCGTAACAGGTTCTGTGACGTGCACGGATGAATATTGGGAAGATTTTGCCAAGGTAAATGTCTAAACTCCCTCTTCTAAGGGTAGTTAGTTCTTGCAACATTCGCATACACTTGAGTAATTTTGTTTGCTCATTCACATGCAGAACAAGAAATGGGCAAAATCGGCCAAGAATCAGCCTCTTAAAAACTTTGACTTGTACTATGAGGCCTTCGGTGGTAGGAGGGCAAGTGGGGCGTTGGAGAAGGGATTGGATAAGCCAACAAACATAGAGGAGGGTACAATCCCCGTCTCCGACCAAGAAGGGGCGACATCTGATGAAGGTGGTAGCGATGATGGCTTCGTTAGCACCATGCGGGCTGGTTTGGACAATGCAGCTAGAGGTCTCAACATTGCCGCGTCCTCCAAAGCCATCGGCAAGAAACCAACCAAGTCCTCACGAAGGTTAACAGGTGATCCTGAAGCGAGGGAATTAATTGGGCGGCTTGTCCCTTCTATAGAAAGCAAGCATAGTAGTCATACCAAAAGCTCTAGTGCGAATCAGACTGGGGCTAATAATGATCTCCAGGACCGCTGCCAGGAAATAGTAAAGGAAATGGCGCTTGATGACGAAACTGCAATCACATTTTTGGAGGCTATTGTTTGGTACCCAAATATGCAGCAGCTTTTCGTGAAGATGAGTGAGAGTCAGCGTACCTTATTCGTGACAAGAACAATCAATACGTCGCGGACTCAAACACATGGACTTTTCTCAAATCCCCACAACCCTATGGGGACGCAGTTTATGCCGCCACCATTTCCCAACTTCATGTCACAACCCACTAACTATATGCAACCGACGCCCTTCTTTGGCCAACAACCCTCCAACAATATTCCACGGTCTCCAAATTTTGGGGGACAACAACTTGTCCCACCATTTCCTAATATTTCCCAAAACTACAATCCCCAACAACCGGCCGCGTACAGTCCCCAAACACCGTACTACATGCCTCACTTTCCACCACCACTGGGACACTTTGGTGGCGATGGAAGTTCGGACCAGCTTTGAGTTTCCACGAATATTGTTTCCATCAGTCATGTATTCATACAATTGAACAATTGCCACTTTTAGATTTGAACTTAGTAATAGAGTAGATGTTGTTTAATTTGTTCTACTACGGCCATGCTGGTGTTGTATTGATCATGGCTATTGAGTGGTGTTGTATTGATCATGGCTATTGAGTTGTATTGCGGACAACAATATTTATTCATGGATTATGTGTATAGACCTTTACTTGCAGATGCGATGACCATTTCATATATATTCTTTTATTATGCATGTCTCCCAGGTAGCAATGTGGAATGCAGGACCTTCAAATCACGTTACCCAAAACGATGATAGTGATGATTCGGACGACGAATATGAGATTGCGGCAGTAGCAGTTGTTTTGTGGTATTACTACACATATATGGAAAGACCACTGCCTCAACCAAAGCATACTTCCGTACTCACAGGTATAATGCGTGTCCAATACCTACTTGATGGACATGATGACGTTATTAGGTCAAAAATTAGAATGGGAAGTGATTGTTTTAAGCGTCTTAGTACGTTGCTTGAGCTTATAGGGCTTTTAAGACCGACGAGGAATATGAATGTGGACGAGCAACTTTTTATTTTCCTCTACATTGTTTGTCAAAGTTCAAACAACAGGGAATCACAAGATCAATGGCAGCATTCCGGTGCTACTATTTCAAAGTATTTTCACGATGTTTTGACGACGTTGTATGAGCTCCGTTTTGACTTCCTTATACCACCAAACTTCAACATTAGCGATCCCGTTATAGCTGCGCATGGAAACAAGTACTTGCCATGGTTTCAGGTATATTGCCTAAATTGACTACTCTATTTGATAAACTATGTAGAATTGTATTGTTGCTTATGTTAGTTAGTTACTATGTAGAATTGTGTTGGCGCTCTTGATGGTACTCACGTACCATGTGTTCCACCACCTGCAAGTGCTGAAGCATGGAGAAATAGGAAAGGGTTCTACTCTCAAAATGTGTTAGGGGTCTGTTCGTTTGACATGAGGTTCACCTACATGTTAGCTAGATGGGAGGGCTCTGCCTATGATGCACGTGTACTCGCATCCGCAACAGAGACGGCGGAAATTTTTTTTCCAAATCCACCACAAGGTATGTGTACGCTTGGTCTTTACATAATTTTTAATTACTACACGTTTGTGCTTACATGTGGAACTAATATATTCACGTAATGTCTTCTAACGCACACCACAGGTAAATTTTACCTCGTCGACTCTGGGTATGCAAACAATCATTGTTTCTTGGCGCCGTACCGGGGGAGTACTTACCACCTTCAAGAGTTTCGGGCAAGGCGTGGTCGGCCCCAAACTGAGCGTGAGTTGTTCAATTACACTCATTCTTCCTTGAGAAACTGTATCGAGCGCACATTCGGCGTGTGGAAAGCCATGTTCCGTATTCTTAAGTGTATTAATAACTACCCAATAGAGACACAAATAATCATTCCACTTGTTTGTGTTATTCTACACAACTTCATACATATGTACAACCACAATGATGATCTACTCACGCAGTACATGAGGGATGCCATTCCGGTTGTAGAAATTGATCCACTCAACACGGATCAAGATGTAAATCAATATTATAATCCGGATTGGGAAACCCGATTGCCTCATAACCTTCCGCAACGACGACAAATGCATATATTGAGGGACGAAATAGCCAGTACAATGTGGAATGCATTCGAAAATAATTACCGTCGATAAATTATTACTTATGTTTTATTTTCCAATGCAATATCTTATGTAAGTGGTGATTATTACAAATGTGCTTCATTTTTTTTCCAATGCAATATAGTGTGTAAGTTGTGAGTTTGGATTTGTGCAAGTGAACACAAAATTCAAGTTTTAAATGTCATATTAATTTCCTACTAAACACTTAACTTAAATTTCATATTACAACTCTAATTAAAAATAACTCAAGTTTACTTTTTCAATTCAAATCATAAAATTAGAGTTAGTAAAGTGAACGCCTCTTAAGTCTTTGATTTTCCACAACTTCTTGGGTCATAGCTGTAGAATTATTCTGAGGACCTTGATTTCTTGCTGAATTGTAGCAATAATTACTTGGGACGGTTTCTTTTTCTGTAAAGGATGCACAAAAGAAATGATGAGCTTAAACGATTGAGCTACAGATTTCTAGTTCTCCGTCTCTCTCTCTTTGATTGTATGACATTTTATCCTACTCTTTTAGATGAAAAACGTGTAAGAATTAAATTTTTTTCCCTCTCCAGGGAAGGAAATTAAACTTTCTAGTATTATTTAGACTTTAGATCTGTATTACATGTGATATGCTGAATTCTGCAGTCTGTTACTAGAGCAAAATTAATGACATGAAAAAGAGAATTTGGGTGAATAACTAATAATAAATTACTGATCTGGTTACATTTTTATGGTAACAAGCAAATATGTGTTATACTGACAAACAAAACTAAAATAGACAAATGGCTTTTATGTATGAAGATATTGATAATGGAGTCTGCGAATCAGTGTAATATATTATCCACGTTTAAGTTGTCTTGACAGTGACAAAATCTACCAAGACTTTCCAAACTTTCGTTTTAGGATGAGATGTATCAGTAGAATAAAACGGACAAACTTGTTCCACTTACATCAATCCAATCGCAGCCAAGAGTTTTTGTTCATTTAACTAGGAGGGTAATTTGCAACCATTATTAGAGACTCCAACCTCTCAATACAAATTACTTCCATAAATTATAAACCCGTTTATTTTACTAATTCGAGTTTTGCTACAATAAAAAGTTTTCAGAAATAGTCACATTTAATTTTTTTTACTATAATAAAAAGCTCTCATAAAAAGTCATATCTCAACTCGAATTAAAAACTCGAATCAACGAATTAAACAAGCTTAAAATAAAAATAAAAAAGGGAAAGGAAATAAGGAAAAGTAGAAAGAGTCGCTCTGTTTGGAAAATTGTATGAAAATTATTATATTTCTCAATATAAAATTATGAAGTATAGAGCAATTTATAGAGAATAGCAGCAGAACACTAGGCTAAATTACACCAAAGGAAGAAATTAGATAATAATCGAAGATGAAAGGGAAACTACAACAAAGAAAAGGCTGTACGATATAAAAGATCTAGAAAAATCAATTAGACTCATTAGAAAATAATTTCATCGATTCGAGTTTAGAATTTGAGTTTTGTTACAGTAAAAAGTTTCCAAAAACAGTCACATTTAACTTTTTTATTACAATAAAAAACTCTAACATAAAATCACACATCAACTTAAATTAAAAATTTGAATCAGCGAATTAAACATGCCCTAAATCAACACTCTCACTCAAGCTCAAGCTGATTCGAAAAAGAAGGAGCAGTGGCTAGCGGATGTAATGAGGCATGAGCAGTGGAAAGAAGGAGAGAGAGAGAGAGACGAGAGGGTATGGAAGAGGAAAAATGGGAAATCTGACTTCTACATATCTATCTATTTAATAAAAATTGATATGAAACATACAAATAAAATTGTCATTTAATAAAAGCTTTAATTTCAATTTTAACTTTTAAAAATACTCTTGTCTTACTTTATACTTAAGTTTTGAAATATCACGTTATTGGTGGTCCCTTTTGTGCTACTTCTGTCTATATATTTTACAATTTTGTCAATAGTAGGACCGTTAGTGCACCGTTTGTAAAGCTCAAATATTAACGATGTGAGCTTTAAAAATTTAAAAGGTAAAGTAAGATAATTAGTTTTCTCAATGGTTAAAATTAAAATTAATCTAATCTCTTTAAAAATGCGCGCTAAGTGTTGATGCGCACAAAAAGGCTTTTTGGCTCTTTTATGTATATTAAAGATTAGTTAAAGAGGCAGAAAGAATGCAACTAACAAGGGGTATAAATCATCAACAATTTCATCACAGGATCTGGTGTCTAATTTTCTCATAGGACAGGACACTAGCTCCCGTTTATTTTACTAGTTTAGTTTAATTTAACTCAATTTGAACAATGAGTATAGTTTGAATTCATGTTTTATAAGTACGTAGTCTAAATTATATTCTCTCAGTTTAAGGTTAAATTGTTCAACTTAGAGTTTAACTCTCATTTAAAGTTCAGCGTTCCAACCATTTTTGAATAGGAAAAATGTGCACACTCTCAGCTCTTCACATATACCAAACACAAATTTAAATTTTATTTTCTATTCAAATTAAAATTTTAACTACACATTTAAACATCAATTTAAACTACACATTTAAACATCAATTTATATTATATAATTTAAATATCACTGTTTAAATAAAAAAGTTCAAACCAATAAAATTTGAACTAACGAACGGTTTGAATTTATGTTTTATAAGCGTCCGAATTTAAACCACGTAGTATTATTAATGAATTTTAGGTTTAAACCACCATTTGGTTTAACAACAAACCCAAAAACACAAAAAGCATAATTGCCCGTGTAACCTGCCAGGACCCTTTTTATTTGTTCCCGCATAATTCATCACCTCCCTCTTTTGTTGTTTTGCAAATTAATATTAATAACTATAATACTAAAATTCACCATCTTCACGAACCCAGAAATTCATTCAGATCAATAATTGTTCTTCTTCTTCTTCTTCTTTTGATCAATCAATCAATCATTCTCTCTCCGACGAAGAAGGAGAAGAAGAAGACGAAGAGAGTGATGCAAATGGCTCCGATTCCTTCGGAGAATGGCGTCGAAGGAGACGACGAGAGGGAGGAAGAAGAGGACGAAGAGGAAGAGGAAGAGGAAGAGGAAGAAGATGAAGAGGAAGAAGAGGAAGAGCCGAGGCTTAAGTACCAGAGATTGGGAGGGAGTATTTCTTTGCTGCTCGCCACCGATGCCGCCTCCTGCGTGGCCGTTGCCGAGCGGATGATCGCGCTCGGAACTCAGGGCGGGACCGTTCATATACTCGATTTTCTCGGGAATCAGGTGAGTTTTGTTTACCTGCTTTGAGTGGATTGGAATTTTCGCTTTTATGTTTGATTTCACGATCGTTAGGAAATGCGTAGCTGTTTCTACTTTTGAGGTTAATTGAGGTATGGATTGTCGATTCGGCCTCGTTTTGCTGAAAATTCGAGCTTTTTCGAATTGGAATTTTCGGTTTTCTTTTGATTTTTGATCGATTAGGTGAAGTGTTAAGAAATGCGCATTTTTTGCTTGAATTTTTATCGAATTGAAGATTAATTTGAAGTATCAATTGTGGTTTTGGCCTTGTTTCGGTGAAAGTTTGAGCTTCGTGGATTAGTTTGGAATTTTCAGTTTCCTGTTTGATTTCCCATCAGTTTAGAAATGCTTAGTTTTTCTACGTTTTGTTCAATTTGAGGTATGAATAGTTGATTTGGCCCCTTTTTTTTTTTAAATCGAGCTTCTTGGATTGGAGTTTTCGGTTTTCCTTTGATTTTTGGTTGATTAGGTTGAGTGCTAAGAAATGCGCATTTGATTTAAATTTTTTGTTGCATCGCAGGTAGTTTGAAGTATGGATTGCGGTTTTCACCTAGCTTTGGAGGAAATTCAAGCTTATTGGATTGGAATTTTTTATTTTGTTTGATGATCGAATAGTTTATGTGTTAGGAAATGCACATTTTTTGACTTGTTGAATTGGAGGTTAATTTGGAGTTTTAATTGTGGTTTTGGCTTGGTTTTGGTGAAAGTTCGAGTTACCTGGATTGGTTTGCCATATTTGGTTTCCTGCTTGAATTTTGATTGGTTAGGTTAAGCATTAAGAAACGTGTATGTTGGAGTCTATATGAAGTATGAATTGTCGATTTGGTCTGGTTTTGGTGAAAATTCTAGCATCCTGGATTGGGATTTTTGGTTTTCATGAAGAATGAAAGAAAAGGAAGGAAATAGATATGGGGGTGATGTTTGGGTAAGAAGGAAAAAGAAGGAAAGATTGGTATAGTTTTGGTGTTCAAGTAATGGCGGTGAATGAAGTGCCTCTAGTACCTTTAGTGGCTTTAGCATCTGCATCTTCATTTCCGTTGATGATTTTTTTTTCGACACCCAAGTTTTCAGAATAGAACCCTGTCGACATGAGAATCGGAAAGACATGTAATTCCAGTTCGCGGTGCCAATTGAAGCCTCAATTTTAGATTTAACTGGTTATGTGGGAAATCTACTTATCCAGAAATCTTTCAAAACTAAAAGCATTTTTTATTGTACAAATATCCTACTGGAGTACTTTGAGAAATTATCTCGTTTAGCCATGTTGCTTGAAAGGTTTCTTGATGCCGGATGCAGGTAGAAGAGAAAAAGAAAAATAGAGAGAAGGTGGAGAGAAATTCTGAGAGAAAAGAAGAGCAATAGAGAGGAAATCTGAACTTTTTAATATCATTAATCTAGGTCTTAATTGAAAATACGTTTACAAGCATAATAAAAAGATAAACTTTAATTTTTGTTACAGTATCTAGACTCTACGTTTATTTATTTATTTACTTTATCCTAGGAATGGTGAACTCTACTTTCTTTCCTCCATTTAGCTGTGGCCTTCCAAGGGAAGAAATATGATGATCTTGATTGGTTGTTTTACAGGTCAAGGAATTTAATGTTCATACTGCTGCAGTAAACGACCTTGGCTTTGACATGGAAGGTGAATACATAGGAAGTTGTTCAGATGATGGATCTGTTGTAATAAACAGCCTTTTCACTGATGAAAATATGAAGTTTGAGTACCATCGTCCTATGAAGGCTATTGCATTAGACCCGGATTATTCCAAGAAAACGTCTAGAAGATTTGTAGCTGGTGGTTTAGCTGGTCATTTATATTTTAATTCTAAGAAATGGCTGGGCTTCCGAGACCAGGTTTGCACTGGACTTATTGTCTTGAGTTCAAGCATTGCTTAAGATGTATTTTAGCTCTCTAAAGACTTAAGAGTTTTGTTTATTAGGTCTTGCACTCGGGTGAAGGTCCAATACATGCAGTTAAGTGGAGAGGAAATCTTATTGCATGGGCAAATGATGCTGGTGTGAAAGTTTACGATGCTGCTAATGATCAACGTATTACATTTATTGAAAGACCGCGAGGAAGCCCACGACCTGAGATTTTGCTCCCCCACTTGGTTTGGCAGGTGAGTCAAAATGAGAGAAGTATTTGCATTCATCGTTCATGCAATATTTTAAACCTACTGATTGCTGTAACATGTCCTTTTCTTTTCTTTTCTTTTCTTTTTTATTAATTTTTATACTATCCATCTATTTGATTTAGGATGATACATTATTAGTCATTGGCTGGGGAACATCCGTGAAAATTGCAGCAATAAGGACAAATCAGCAGAGAGCAACCAATGGGACGTATAAGCTTGTTCCGCTGTCTAGTATGAATCAAGTTGATATTGTGGCATCTTTCCAGACCAGCTATCACATCTCTGGAATTGCACCCTTTGGTGATTCTTTGGTTGTTCTGGCCTATATTCCTGGTGAAGAAGATCGGGAAAAGGATTTCAGTAGCTCCATCACATCACGGCAGGTACTTACTCCCTCATTTTTCAAGAGACACATGAGTTTTCTTAAGTGCTGCTGAAGTAACTGTAACATTTATGGAAGCAACTAACACTGTCGATAAAGAACTGGGTTGAGGTCAGATATGCACGCGTATAATTTTTTTTTTTTTTTTTTTTTTTTTTTTCTTTT